ACTGTATATAGCAATGATTTCTTGTTCTTGTACATGACACCAAAGGCACTGGAACAATAACAAATATACAAACTGGACTTTATCAAAATTAAAAGCTTTGGTATATAAAAAGACAATTATCAGCAGAATAAAAAGGCAACCCACAGAATGAGAGAAAATATTTGCCAATTACATACATAAGGAATTAAATATCCAGAATACATACAGAACTCCTAAAACTCAACAGCAAAAAAAACACACAAATGACCAATTTAATAAAAAATAAAATTTAAAAAATAAAAAATAAAATCATATGATTTAAAAAAAAACAAAAAACAACAAAACAAAAAACACCAAATGACCAGACTCAAAAGCGGACAAAAGTCTGGAACAAATATTTCTCCAAAGATATACAAACAGGCAACAAACACATGAAATGATGCTCAACATCACTAATCAGTAAGGAAATAAAAATTAAAACCACAAGGAGATACCATTTCACAGGGCTCGTTTTAAAAATAGAGAAAATAGCTAAATCCGGTTTGGCTCAGTGGATAGAGCGTCGGCCTGCGGACTGAAAGGTCCCAGGTTCGATTCCGGTCAAGGGCATGTACATTGGTTGCGGGCACATCCCCGGTAGGGGGTGTGCAGGAGGCAGCTGGTTGATGTTTCTCTCTCATTGATGTTTCTAGCTCTGTATCACTCTCCCTCTCTGTAAAAAATCAATAAAATATATTTTCTAAAAAATAAAGTAAACAAGTGTTGGCAAGAATGTAGAGAAACTGGAACTCTTTTTTTTTTAATAACATATTTTATTGATATTTTACAGAGAGGAAGGGAGATAGAGAGTTAGAAACATTGATCAGTCATCGACCAGCTGCCTCTGGCATGCTCCTTACTGGGGATGTGCCCGCAACTAAGGTACATGCCCTGGACCGGAATCGAACCCTGGACCCTTTAGTCCGCAGGCTGACGTTCTGTCCAGTCAGCCAAACTGGTCTCGGCGAAACTGGAACTCTTGTGTGCTATTGGTGGGAATTTAAATGGTGCAGCTGCTATAGAAAACAGTATGGAGCCCTAGCCATTTTTGCTCAGTGGTTAGAGTATCTGCCTGCAGACTGAAGGGTCGTAGATTAGAATCTGGTCAAGGGCACATATCTCAGGTGCCGGCTCGGTTCCCACCCCTGTCATCACAGAGCTGTCTTCCTAAATTCCCAGACAGGTCAGGCCCAGACATGGAATACATGCGAGAGGCAATGAATCAATGTGTCTCTCTCACATCGATGTTTCTCTCTCTGTGTCCTCTCTGTCTCTCCTCCCCCCTTCCATTCTCTTAAAAAAAAAAAAAAATTCAATGGTAAAATTTTCTCAGGTAAAAACAGTATGAAGGTTACTCAAAAAGTTTAAAATAGAACTATCATGTAATCCAGCAATTCAACTCAATTCAACTCTGGGTATACACCAAAAGAACTGAAAGCATGGACATGATGGATATTTGTATACCAATGTACATTGACAAATTATTCACAATAGCAAAAAGGTGGAAGTAGCTCAAGTGTCCCTCAGTAGTTAAGCAAAATGTGGTATAAACATACAATGGATATTTAACAAAGTTTAACGAAGTTATTATTGAGCCTTAAAAAGGAAATTCTTTTTAAATAATAAGGCATAACAAAGATAATAATTTAATTAAAAAAAAATAAGGCATGGCTCAGTGGTTGAACATTGACCTATGAACCATGAGGTCAGGTTCGATTCCCAGTCAGGACACATGCCTGGGTTATGGGCTCCATCCTGATTGATGGGCAATCATCTATCAATGATTCTCTCTCATCATTGATGTTTCTTTCGTTCTTTTTTTATTTCTTTTAAAATATATTTTATGGATTTTTTTTACAGAGAGGAAGGGAGAGAGATAGAGAGCTAGAAACATCAATGAGAAAGAAACATCGACCAGCTGCCTCTTGCACACCCCCTACCAGGGATGTGCCCGCAACCAATGTACATGCCCTTGATCGGAATCGAACCTGGGTCCTTTCAGCCCGCAGGTCGACACTCTACCACTTAGCCAAACCGGTTTCAGCTCATCATTGATGTTTCTATCTTTCCCTCTCCCTTCTTCTCTGAAATCAATAAAAATATATTTAAAAAAAAGAAATTCTGACACACGCTACATGTATGAACCTTGAAACTGTTATGTTAATAAGCCAATCAGAAAAGAACAAATACTGTGTGATTCCACTCTTATAAAGTACTCAGTCAAATTCAGAGACAGAAAGTAGAATGGTCATTGCCAGGGGTTGGGGGATGGGAAAATGGGGAGTTAATAGATTAGAGGGTAGAGTTTCACTTTTGCAAGATGAAAGGTTCTGGAAATGGGAGGTAGAGATGGCTGCAAAACAAAGTGAATGTACACTGTGCTGCTGAACTACATACTGAAAAATGGTAAATTTTGTTGTGTATATTTTACAGCAACATAAACAATTTTTAAGTTAAAAAAATTAGCCGAGACCGGTTTGGCTCAATGGATAGAGCGTCGGCTTAGGGACTGAAAGGTCCCGGGTTCGATTCCGGTCAAGGGCATGTACCTTGGTTGCGGGCACATCCCCAGTGGGGGTGTGCAGGAGGCAGCTGATCGATGACTCTATCTCATCAATGTTTCTAACTATCTCTCTCCCTTCCTCTCTGTACAAAATCAATAAAATACATTTTTTTAAAAAATTAACTCCATTTTATTCCAATTTTCTCCATCTTCAGTGCCCCACTAAATCTCACCTGAATAACTTTCATAGTCTTTAGTCTCTCACTCTGATCCAGTCTTCCAAATAGGAGCCAGAGTGATCCTGCTTAAGATGCAAACCAGAAAAGTGAAATCCTTCAGGTGGCTTCCTCCTCCCCTTTGGAATAAAAACAAATTCCTCAACATGACCCTCCCTTTTCTTCCTCATTTGTAGCTTTATTCTTTACCATTAACCCTCATGGCTTTATCTTCTGAAATGTTCTCTCCTCTTCCCCTTCAGAACGCCTACTCTTCCTGCAGAGCTGTCTTCCTGAACTCCCATCACAAAATAAACCTGTACCATCAAACCCAGCAGACTGAAAACTTACCTTTTTTGTATCTGACCATGGGCTAGTCTTCCAATATTCTCTGAGAGGGGTCAGTTTGTCTCCACCAGGGGGCCTGTAAAAGAAAAAAAAAAATTTTTTTTTAAAATATGTTTTATTGATTTTTCTTACAGAAAGGAAGGAAGAGAGACAGAGAGCTAGAAACGTCAACAAGAAACATCGACCAGCTGCCTCTTGCACACCCCCTATACGGGGATGTGCCCGTAACCAATGTACATGCCCTTAACTGGAATTGAACCTGGGACCCTTCAGTCCGCAGACCAATGCTCTACTGCTGAGCCAAACCATTTTCGGCCTGTAAAGGAAATTTTATACCAACTTTCTAACTGGAGTGAGCTTGTTAGGCTTCACCAGTTTGCCTATGGGAGGGAAAAAAGGTTCAGAAAAGAGGTAGGGTCCAAAAGAACACGATCCATGAGATAAAGGTGTACACCCAGGACAGGTCCAGACAGGGTAATGTCTAACTGCAGTCATGTAGCCCCTTTGGGGTCCAGCCCCACTCAACCTCCTCAAACAGGATCTTGGGGTTAGACTGTGGCGGAAAACCCCAGCTGCGGAATTCTGAAAAAAGCTCTAGGAGATGCTGCTGCTCACCTAAGGTGGAGAACTACAGTGAATGTTTAACAGGTACGCAACAGATGTTTTGGCCTTATTGTTATTCTTTAAAACTTAAAGCTTAGGGTTAAAAATACAAATTTTAAAGTCAGACAAACCCAGGTATTAGTTGGATGATTTCTGAGGAGGTCCGAGAATTTACATCTCTAATCAACTTTCCAGGTGATGTGGCGGCTGCTGCTGGTCCAGAAACACACTTTGTGGATCAGTGACCTAGCACATACTGATATTCTGATACCTAAAGAAGTACTTTCTCGCCCTAACTAGTTTGTCTCAGTGGATGTAGGGGTGTCGAACTCAATCAGAGAAGGGGCCAAAATCTAAAATCCAGCCTAAATCGCGGGCCGAATGGTTTACTGAACAGTCATAAACTGTCATTGTGATGGAAACGCAGCGGAGTGCAGTGATGACAGCGCGGTGCGGGCCACATTGCAAGGCCTGGCGGGACGGATTTGGCCCGCGGGCCTTGTGTCTGACACATGTGGGATAGAGCTTTGGCCTGCAGACTGAAGGGTCCCAATTTCAATTCCAGTCAACGGCATGTACCTTGGGTTGCGGGCGCATCCCCAGTAGAGGGTGTGCAGGAGGCAGCTGGTAGGTGTTTCTAACTTTCTATCCCTTTCCCTTCCTCTCTGTAAAAAAATAAAAAAAAATTTTTTTAAAGGAGTATGTTCTCCACTTCAACCCCGTGAGAGAGTCCTCAGCTGGTTCCAATTTGCACTGCAGCCTTAGAAAATCACTTCTCTTTAGGTCTCAGGGCTCACTAGCCAAAAGAGGGTGCTAGGCAAGATGAGACAGTAAGTTATTACAGACAAGAGTTAGCATCGTGAACAAGGTCCTACGGAACATGTATTAGTAGTGTTAAGGAGAAAACGAGCAGGGGCTGCATAAGAAGAGGCAACGTGAGGCTCCAGAGGAGCAGAGTTTGGGCTAGAAAGGACGCCCTGGGGAAAGGCAGGGTCGTGTTCTACCCCCGCTGCTCCAATGGACGAGCCGTGGCGAACTGGGCGACGCTCAACTCCAACCTTCGCTCTCCCTTCCACTCCCCAGTCTCCACAGCGCCGCCTCGCGCTCGGGTCGCTCCGCTTCCAAGATTGCTCTTTCCGTCGTGCGGAGAGCTTGCCGTCACTTCCTTCATGCGTAGAGCGCTTGCGCGGAGACCACGGGTACTTCCCACCCCCCCACTCGGGCGGCTGCGTGGCCGCTGATTGGCTGCGTGAGCACGTCGCCGGGAGGACGCACGGCGCTACGTTGCTCCTCCCTCCTCCCGCGGCACCTGGTCTCGGCTGAGCGAGCTGAGCCTGCTGCTCTGCCCAGGGCGGGTGGCTGTAGCGCTCCCCTGAGCCAGACTGCGGAGCCTCCCCTGCTTCCCCGAACGCTGAGACCCGCGACCCCAGACCCCGCCTTCTTTTGGCTCGGCCCGCGCGCCCCAGCCCGGTCCGGGGGGCGCGACGATAGGATGAGCGGCGGGAGGCGGAAGGAGGAGCCGCCTCAGCCGCAGCTGGCCAACGGGGCCCTCAAAGTCTCTGTGTGGAGCAAGGTGCTGCGAAGCGACGCGGCCTGGGAGGACAAGGTGAGGTGCAGCTGGGAGGGCGCCGGCGTGAGGAGCCGGCTGGCACTTGGGGACGGAGGGACCGGCCCGAGCTTGCCCCCCGGGTACCGCCGATCGTTTGGGCTGGTGGGGCGGGTGGCCAAAGGGTGGCGGCCTCGGCGGGCCCCGCTGAGCGCTGAGCGAGGAGCCCCCGCGGGTGCCCTAACGGGCAGGCCGCCCGGGTCACCGAGAGGCAGAGGGGAGAGGGCAGAGCGGGGTCACTCGCGGGCAGGGCGTGTGTGCTGCTTGAACGGTGAGATTGAGCTGAATTCGACTTGACCTCCGCCTTTACCTTTTAAGGGACTCACCTCGGAATTAATAGTTAACTAAGTCGTTAGCACGAAAAGTAACGGCCACAGACACCTCCTGGTACTTGGTCGGGTGCTCTCCGTGTGCTTGCAGAACAGCTCTGAGCTGGGCACAGCGGCGCATTGACGAGGGAGCACACAGTGAGGCTCACTGGAGATAGCTGCCGTGCCCTCACGGTCTGGCTCAGGGGATGGAGCGTCGGCCTGCGGACTTAAGGGGCCCAGGTTCGATTCCGGTCAAGGGCATGCACCTTGATTGCCGGCACATCCCTAGTAGGGAGTGTGCAAAAGGCAGATGATCGATGTTTCTCTCTACCCTTCCTCTCTGTAAAAAAAAAGAAAGAAAAAAGTGAGTTGGCATTACTTTACTGTTGAATGAGGAAAACCGAATAAATACCTTACGTGTGAGAGTTGTGGGGAGACAGACCACCTTGCAAGGAGGAGGAAGAGGAAGGAGAGAGAGAGAGAACATATATGTGAGGAATTGTTGGGGCTTCAAAATTTCCTTTTCCTTACTGGTTGGTCACACACATTCAGATCTGAGTTTGGGCACTCCCAAACCATGATCTGGAAGGGACCATTGCAAACAGCTTGATTCCAGTCTTTTTTTTGGGGGGTGGGGGGTGGGGGGAGTAGCCTGGTGAATTAGGTTTTCCTTCCTGGAGCTCCAGTAAGAAGGGGTGGGAACACCTCCTAAAGGTGCCCCAGCTCCCATAAAACCTTCCTGATCTGCTGTGTCATTGCTTTCTTTCCTTCTGTAAGGACTGGTTCTGCAATCTAGGGCAGGTCAGAAACTGAGTCTTCCCTGTCCTTGTAGGTAAAATAGGTATGCTGGCACCTGCCTCCAACACTTTTGTTTCTAATCCTTTCTGTCCTTTGTGACTTATTCAAAACTCGGTGTGCAGGAAGATAGTGCCGAGTAGGTTGACTGTCAGCCCTCCTTCCTGGGGCTAGTGTGTCCAGGTCTTCTCAGGTGAGAGAAGCGTTATCAGTGTCCAGGATCATGGTTACCAACAGCCATTTAATCTTTGCAGCTTCTCAAAAAAGATAAATGGATTTTTCTAAAATTTTTATTTAGAGCACACCCTTAGAAGTCATCACTCAGGACAAGTATTGTGTGTGTGTGTGTGTGTGTGTGTGTGTGTGTGTGTGTGTGTTTACCACCTTTTAGTACAAGAAGAGGTGGAGATGCGAGAGCCTGGTATTCTTGCTTTTGGGGGACAATTCCCTGAAAGATATGTTGGTGGGAAGCTTTTCTGTTCCTCACCTATTACCAGAGGTTCTACTGTGGCACCCACTCCAGATAATGCATGCAGTTTCTCTTTTTTTCTACAGGATGAATTTTTAGATGTGATCTACTGGTTCCGACAGATTATCGCTGTGGTTCTGGGTGTCATTTGGGGAGTGTTGCCATTGCGAGGTTTCTTGGGAATAGCAGGGTAAGTCTTGGGTATCTTGCAGTTTTGTGATATCATTTTTTTTTTTTCAAATAGGGACTTTATTTTCATTTTATGGGAAAGGCTGTTACTACATTGGAGGGTTTTTAAATTATTACATTAAATGACTCTCTGTGTGTGTGAGTATAATGATTAAAGCAAAAAGTTGGCCTCACGGTGGCACTCCTCAGTTCATCAAGCCCAGGAGCATCTTAGATCAGGTATGTTACTTCCTGAAGGTTGGGCTAGTCCATTCATTCATGGGTCCAAAGTGACCTCATGCAAGAGGATACCACAGGCCTGTTGATGGCAGGCATCATCTAGTTCTATGGAAGTTTGGAAAGTAGAAGAATTTCTATACTTGATGACCACTCCCTTGTGCCTGGCACTTTGCTGGACATGCTGAATCTTGGCTTTTTCAGTTGTTTGAGGTGCTTATATTTTAGAGACAGTGAAAAAGTGGAAGGTCTGGCCCTCCATCTTCTACTGTGGCCAGTGGAAATGATTGACACTAGCTCCTGGTTGTAGCTCTGCCTTTTTTTTTTTTTTTTAATTGATTTCAGGGAGGGAGAGGGAGAGAAAGATAAAAAAAAAATAAAAAAAAAATAGAAACATCAATGATGAGAGAGAATCATTGATGGGCTGCTTCCTACACTTTCCCCTCTGGGATCAGGCCTGCAACCCAGGCATGTGCCCTAACTGGGACTTGAACTGGTGACTTCTTGGTTCAACCACTGAGCCACACCGGCCAGGCTAAGAAGATTTTTGATTTATGATACTGAGTAAAGCATTTGTAGAAGGAAACCAGTAAGAGTTTAATCTCTGCCTGACTTGGATGGAGTGCACACTTGATGAAGGCTGATTTGGGATTATGAGACATAGGACCTGTGGCCACAGAGCTTTTCCCAGGAAGGTGGTGGTTATAGATGATATTTTTAGAATACTGGTCACCCCATTTGAGCCCCCCTCCCCCTCCCCTTCCTCCTCTCCCTCTCCCTAAAATCAATAAAAATGTGTTTTTTAAAAACGGGGCAATAAAAATGCCTGCCTTATAAGATGTATAAATTAAATGAAATAATGTAAATTGCTGACTAGTGAAGACCTCCAAGGCACTCCATAAATGGTTCACTGCAATTACTATATGATTAGCTTTACAAAGAATGGTAAAACACAGTTTTCTGGGGTACAGTCCCACACTGTCCTGCCAGAGCCAAACTTGAATCCCTTCTCTCCTGTGGTTGGCACCTTTTCCCCTGCTCTGGGAAAAGACCCAAGGACATTGGATTTTCTGCTCACATCTCCTCTCCTCCATCTGTCTGACCCAGCTGCCTGGACTGAGGGGCAGACCGCTCTGGTGCTCAGTTCTGGTGACGCTCCTCCCATTTCTGCTGTAGCTGCTCTCTTTTTTGACCCCAGCTTGTCTTCTCCTTTCTGGTGGGGTCACCTGTTAGGGCCCATTAAGGTAAAATAATTTCCTCAGCTCTCAATTATAATTTGCATGAGAACTAAGTGATGGTTCTGCTGTGTCTGCTGAGGTTTTGCATGATCATAAATGGGCTCAGTCCATCCTTTCCTGTTTCTCACAGAGCTTGGAGCATATTAATAGGTGCTCAGTGAACGCTCGTTAAATTTCTTTTTAACAAGCATTGCCATTGACCATTGAAAGCAGGGCCATGCATTACTGTTGTCATGTAGCCTTCCATCCCTGAAGTCATCATATTTGTTAGAGCCATTATTTTGTTAAATTATGACAGGAGTTTTTAGAATAGAATTTAAATTTATTTTAGAGAGAAGGAGAGAAATATTGATTTGTTGTTCCATATATTGATACATTCATTGCTTGGCTCTTGTATCTTCCCTGACCAGAGATTGAACCCACAGGATGATACTCTCACCAACTGAGTTACCCGGCCAGGGTGTAAGATAGAATTTTTAAAAACCTATATGAAAGTCAGTCTTTTTTAATGTTTTTCTCCAACCCCCAATCCAGCATGTTCATTTTTGTCTACACCAAGCATGTCAAACTTGCAGCCCTCACCTTTCCCTTGTATTTCCCTCTCATCTCACCAATCAGCCACTCTTACAGCTCATCTCATTTGATGAATTTCCAGTCATTCTCTAGCCCTAGTTTATAAGATCAATCAATCCCAGAATGACATTTTTAAGTCCCATTAGTAGTCTGTCTGAAGCCACAAATTCACCCTGCCCAAAATGCAACTCTTGTTAGAGGGAAGTAGCCAGATTGGCCAGGTCCCAAGATTTCTAGCAAAAGATAAGGATGTGGTCACAATATAACCAAGCCAATTTTAGGTGAAATCCAAGTAAAACCTTCGTTCTTCCCGCCTCCTTACTTCTGTTACTGAAACCGTTGTACTTCCAGGCCCCTAGGCTCCAGCCTTTGGGATGTCTTCCCTCCCCATTCCACCACTGTCCTAGTAATTGTCCTCAAACTTTATTTGCACTCTTGTCCTGAAACATGGTAGAGGTCTAAACCAGTCTCCCAACTCCAGTTCCTTCTACTCAGGAGAAAGTTCACACTTGCACTGCCTAGAAACTAGACTTCTTGAAGTAAACACACCCTACCTTGCCCCCACTTTGCTCAGGCTGCCTCAGGATCCTCCCCCACCCCCCTTATATACTAGTTTACATTCTCAGCATCATCTAACTGCCTTGCCTTCATCAGCTCATACTTCATCCACTCAAAGGAACCAGTTATCTTTGCATGTTTCTACCTCAGTCTCCAGAAGGAATGGAACTTAAGACATATAGTCCCCCCTTAGATTAGATATTATAACTGGAAAGATCAAAGTCTTGATGACTTTATAAGTTACATTTACCTGATGACCATATCAAGAGAGTGGAGCAGGGCGACGTATTACTACTCACTGCATTCTAATTCTTCCATCAATTAAGTAATACATGATGGGGCTCAGAGACCTTCCTAGAAGCACTTGCAAACCTCTGGTTTCAATTCCACTCTCACTACTGGTATTATTACTATTATTTGTTAATCTTCACCCAAGGATATTTTCCCATTGATTTTTAGAGAAGGCAGAAGGGAGGGAGAGACACAGATAAATATCAATGTGAGAGAGATATTGATTGGTGGCCTCCCTCATGCACCCCAACTGGGTTTGGTTATCGACCTGCAATAGAGGTCTTGACCAGAATTGAACCTGCGACCCTTCAGTCTAGGGGCCAACATTCAATCCACTGAGCCAAACTTGGCTAGAGCTATTGATTTGAGAGAGGGAAAGAGAAACATCGATGTTGAGAGAAAAACATGGATCATTTGCCTTCCTACAACCTGGGCATGTGCCTGACTGGGAATCGAATGACGCTCCAGCCTACTAAGCCACACTGGCCAAGGTTTCACTCTGTTTTTTGGCCCCTAGTAGATGGCAAGCTGAGGGCAGGAACTGTTATGTTCATACCTGCATCAAGTGCAGTAGCAGACAGTGGCCATCCAGAAATTGTCTCCCAATGGGAATTATGCATGGGCTTTTTTAGTATATGCCCTTGCTTAACCTGAAGGCATGAAGCAGCAGCTTAACCTGTGTTTATCCCATGGCCATCCCTCATCCCTGCAGGAGCTACCTAGAGACTCCAGTAAAGTACTGGTCCTACTTAGGACCAGTCTATCTTACTTTAAGGGTGCTTGGAGAACTTACATCTGCTTTTTAATTTATTTTTTGCTTTGGCTGGGCAACTAAAAAAGTTGTTCCTTCTTTAAGTCTCTAGGTCAGCCAAACGGGTAGCTCCTTTGAGGACTGAGGTGTTTCCATGTGTTAGTTCCCTTTCGTAACAGAGGTAGTTAACGGTGTAACCATGAGAACCTTGGTAGAGCTGGACCTTGGTGGTAGGAGTCTTGAGTCTTCTATTTTTGATGCTTGTCCTCCCTCACTCCAGGTTCTGCCTGATCAATGCAGGAGTCCTGTACCTCTACTTCAGCAACTACCTACAGATAGATGAAGAAGAATATGGTGGCACATGGGAGCTCACGAAAGAAGGGTTTATGACATCTTTTGCCTTGTTCATGGTATGTGTACCTGATAGTTTTATAGCAAGTAGTGTCATTTCATGAATCACTCAAGGGGAGCCTACTGATTTTACACTGTGATTGGGGTACCATTTTTTTAAAAAGTTGATGAGTCTGGAGGGCATGTCCACTCTTGAGTCATGTTGTCCCAAAAGTGTGATAAACTGTACAGTCTTGTTGTGCAAATCCAGAGCCCATCATCAGTTTTACATCTGATTGTCAACTCTGCTGTATATTAGAAACTAGGAAACTTTTAAAAATATATGCATAGCATTATTCATAATAGCTAACATATACAAAGTCATCACCTGATACATAAATAAAATGTATTCATACAGAATATTATTTGATCATAAAAAGGAATGAAGTACTGATAGATGCTGCAACATGATGAACCTAGAGAACATGCTAAGTGAAAGAATCAAAAGATCTCATGTATGAATCCATTTATGTGAAAATTCAGACAGACAAAAAGTTAGTGATTACCAGTGGCTTTGGGAAGTGGGGGAGGGAGGAGATAACTGATAATGGGAATTTATTTTCTTTTGATGATAATGAAATGTTACAGAACCATTTATATGGTGATGTTTACACGCCTCTGTGACTATACTAAAATCTTCTGAATTGTGGTGTGTTTTTTAAATGGATTCAGTAAAAAAAAAAAAAAAAAAGTAAAAACACCAGAAAAAAAAAATCCTCAGAATTGTATATTTTATGGAATATAAACCATACCTCAGTTTTATTGTTTTATTATTATTTATATGTGCTTTTATTGATTTCAGAGAGAGGGATCGAAACATCAATGATGAGAGAACATCATGGATCGGCTGCCTCTTGCATGCCCCCCCCTAGGGATCAAGCCCACAACCCGGGCATGTGCCTTAACTGGGAATCTAACCATGAACTCCTATTTCATGGGTCAACCCTCAATCACAGCAACACTGGCCAGGCATTGTTTTTGTTTTAATTTATAGACCCTAGCCCAAACCAATAAAATAAAAACCTCTGGGAGGTGGTACCTCGGCATTTATATACTAGTAATACTTTTAAAAGTCCTAGATGCAATGAGCAGTCGGTTTTGAGAATCTGTGATTTGATAAGGCTCTGATGGTGTAAAAGTGATTTTGTTTTCACATTTATGGCTAATCCTAACATCTATTGGAAGTACAGTCTGCTTTACCTGTTTCATTTCTACATTTATAACTCCCCTACCTGGTGCTTAGTTTGCAGTATGGCAGGGTGAGAGGCTTTTCCAGGGTCCTTTGGGGGCACAGGTGGGTGGTCCTCGGCTGTTAGAGACAGGCTTGATTTCAGTGAAATTATGCATTGGTAAGCCCCTGGGAAGTCCGCCGTGCAAACGTTTTATCTGACATTTTTGTTGTGTGGAATATGGGCCTGCTTTGACCAGGTGACCTATGAACATTGCTTGTCTCCTCTCCAGGTCATCTGGATTATCTTTTACACTGCCATCCACTATGACTGATGGTGAACAGTCTCCACCTGCTCCCTGTTGGTCCAAAGGACTCTCTTGGTTACAGCATGAAACATGATGAGAGGGGCACCTCAGCCACATGGAACCTGGAAGACCCCTGTTTCCTGGACCGAGAATCTGTGTTGGGCATCAGTGTTTTCTGCAAGGGTTGTGACCTGAAACTTTTTAAAGAACTATCCACCTTTGGGAAGGCATTTCTAATTGTCCATCACCAATCATTTCTTCTTGGATACCATCATGAAACACTTGTTTGCAGATTGAAGCTGTCATTTAATTTGATGCATCTCTGGATCTGGATGAAACATTAAATTGTCTTCCTCACTTCTCCATCAGGTGTACAATTTTTAAACTGTCAGTGGCATTTCAAGTCTTCCAAAAAACAGTATGGCAATATGTGTGTGGTCCATAGCACAGAATAAGCAGTATCTGGTAACAATTTCCATTGTAGAATGTTTTCACATACTTGAATAAATCAGATCTTTAATTGACAACTGTTGATGATACCTGGTTAAAGCCTTTTCCCACCTTCACCTCTAGCTTAAGAACCTAGTCGGAACACTAGAAGTGGTGACCTCCCATCTCCATCCCTCGTCCTCTTCCTGCTCCTTTAGCAGCCCCAGCCAGGCTTCTTTCCTTTGATGGGTTAAGGCCAAGGTCTAAGCTTTGTAGAGAGAGGGCTTACCACTTTCTGATGCCTAGTGCCCCTGCCCAGCACTGGGAGCCACACAGAAGTGACCTCATCACACTGTCCTAGTCTCAGAAGGTGTCATTTTGCATTAGGCCACTAGATGGCAAGGCCATTAAGGCTTAGCCAGATCCCAATAATAAGTTGCAAAATGAAATGAAATCTGAGAGCTACAACTGTCCAGAGAAGGGGCTTGGTGAGGACAGTTCAGGACTTGTTCTGTCAGATGTCCTCTTTGCTCTAGGGTCAGGGGGAAGCCGGACAGTCCAGGTTCTGTTGCTCTGGTGTACCATCTCTTCCTTCTGCTTTCCTGCCCCTTGTAAATTTTTTTTAAATGTGTTTGCCTTGAGTGGGGCTGGGAAACTGGTTAGCAAGTTTGAATGGGACTGATAGTTACCAGGGGAGGAAGATGTGCTGGAATTCCCAAACTTGGGCACAGACTACGTTAGACCCCAGAGGAAGTTTAGATTCTTTGGAGCCCTGGCTTTGCTCTCAGCTGGTCCGTCCTTGAACTAGAGATTGCAGGTAGGGCCATGCCACTGGGAGGAGGTATATGACTTCTTAGAGCTGAGAGGAAGGAACAAGGTAAGAGGTGGGACCGTGAATGTGCCTCTGTATCCCTGTTCTCCCCTCACGTAGGGCTGTCAAACTCAATCAGAGAAGGGGCCAAAATCTAAAATCCAGCCTAAATCGCGGGCCGAATGGTTTACTGAACAGTCATAAATTCATTGTGATGGAAACGCAGCGGAGTGCAGTGATGACAGCGCGGTGCGGGCCACATTGCAAGGCCTGGTGGGACGGATTTGGCCCGCGGGCCTTGTGTTTGACACATGTGCAGTACAGTCTTGCCTGTGGGATCGCAGTTAGGCTGAGCACCTTGGTATTTAGGTGCTACAACCTTGGCTCCCCTTTTGGCCTCTGGGCTTTGGCATCGTCCAAGGAGATGTCGTCAGTCAGGCTGATGTAGGAGCTGAGGGCCTCCCGGAGTCCCTCGCTGATGAGAGACGCCTCCCCGGTGGCAGGTGCTTCCGAGAACAGGAGGGAGCTGTGGAGAGGAAAAGAGCTGGGTCAGGAGCCGCCTTCCCTGCATTCACTACAGTTCACCGTTTTTAACTCCTGCTAAAAAAAATTCATAGTGGCTCTCCGTTTCCTATCAGATCAAACCAGAACTTGACTTCTTCACTCAGGACTGGTACTCTTTGTTCTACCTTACCTTATCTGACCTTCCTCCCATTCTGGCCACCTTCATGTCTAGGCTGCCCATTGCATGCCCACTTTTTCCTCTCTGTCACTGCCCCTTACCCGCCTGCTGAGCCTAGGCTGGCCTCTGAAGAGCTCAATCTGGCCCCCCAGGTTCATTCTGGGTGGTGAGTTCCCAGGGGTAAAGCCTGCCTCTTGTTCTGTCTCCATGTCCCAGGGTTCTTCTCACCTGTCCAGCTCTTTCCAATTGAGGGGTGCCCTCTGCACAGTCACAGGTAAAGGTATGTCCTTGCCAGGGACTGGGCCAGCTCTCCGCAGGGCACAGGGCTTCTTGAGGAGGCAGCAGATGTCATCCGCCAGCTCTGAGGAAGAGACCTAGACCCTTGACATGGGTGACTCCAGCCCCGCTTTCCTCCCCAACAACCACTACCCTCACCCGTCAGCTTTGCACACTTGGCAGATTGGGGCATGGTCTAAAAAGGATTACAGCGCACGAGTACCAAGCGGTTCGTCTCCTAGAGGCTGAGATGCAATCAAAAGTCATTCTGGCCGAAACTGGATTGGCTCAGTGGATAGAAAGGTTCGGTCTGCGGACTGAAAGGTTCCAGGTTCGATTCTGGTCAAGGGCATGTACCTTGGTTGCAGGCACATCCCTAGTGGCTGGTGTGCAGGGGGCAGCTGATCGATGTTTCTCTCATCGATGTTTCTAGCTCTATCTCTCTCCCTTCCTCTCTGTAAAAAAATCAATAAAATATGTATATTTAAAAAAAGTAATTCTGGGAGACTTACTTTACTGTGGTTCTGGGTAAGTTGATGGACATCTTTGAGTCCAGTTTCTGGCTAGGAAAATACTTCGGGAAGAAAACTACAGAATGCTCAGTATTTATTGCAAGAATAACCTTCCAGCAAACCCCTGATCAGCTTTCCCAGTTTTATTCTCCCCTCTACATCGTCCAGTGCCTGTAACTGCACAAGCACCAGAAAATGCTAAGAACTTGAATACCACAGATCTAGGCCTAGTTCCTGTAGAGACAACTGTGCTTCCCGCTAGAGCTTTGACTCAGAACTACAGCGGTGGATGAGTTAGTGGCCTACCCTCACACACAGGATAAAGATAGGACTGCCTTGCCTGGCTGGTGTGGCTCAGTGATTGAGCGTCGGCCTATGAACCAGGAGGTCACGGTTTGGTTGCAAGTCATGGCACATAATGCCAGGTTGTGGGCTTGATCCCCAGAATGGGGCATGCAGGAAGCAGCCTATCAATGATTCTCATTATTGTTTCTATCACTCCCTCTCCCTTTTTCTCTCAAATCAATAAAAATATGTTTGTTTAAAAAAAAAAATAACAGCTGTCAGTCTGTGTTTCTTGGCACCGGGACTGGCATGAGGGTAGGGGAGGCCCTTCTTCCATCTGTCTGGATATTCTTTAGCAGGTAAAGTGTCTAAGGATTCTCTGACCCCTAAAAGTTACATCCCAGTCTACTCTCATGGAGGCAAGGAAAGGCCGTACCAGAGTAATGGTCCACGAGGGCCTGGAGTGAGGGGAAAGTGAAGCGGGGCGAGATGTACAGCCAGCCGTTGTCAAGGCGCTGGATCCTGTAGTGTCTGATCCGGTCCCAGGATGCAGGGCGGCTGAGGCGGACTGACAAGGAGTAACAGCCTAAGGAGGAAAGAGTCCAAGGTGGGACTGAGGTCCTGCTGGGACTTGGCTCTGCCCAGGAAGGAGAGATGGAGAGCCTTGGGTCCAGGCAGAAGAAATAGGCAGAGAAGGACGAAGTCTTGTTCTCTTGGTCATAAATGACAATACATAACAGATAGGGCTCTTGTGAGATGAGATCGTGGATGCAGAGCCTGGCACAGTTTCAATGAGCATTAAGTGTTGGCTGTTAGGGGAAGACTCAAGTGGGCAGAGAGTTAGAATGTGAAAATGTATCAGTAGATATCAGCAGGGACATGGAGAAAGAGGAACCTCTTACCCTGCTGGTGCAAAGATGAATTAGTACAAGCCACTTTGGAAGCAGTTGACATTAACTGGTTGAGCTGACCATGCATCTACCTCACAACCCAGCAGTTCCATCCCAAAATGTTACCTTAGAAATGCACGAGCAATATTCATAGCATTGTTTGGAAAAGCCCCAAATTGTGAACAGCCCATGGGCACTCAGTAGAATGGTGGATTATATAATTTAAGACTATAGAGCAGTAAAAGTTAATAGCCACTACTCACTTAAGCACAGGTAAACCTTAAAAATAATGAAGCAGGAAGTCATGAAGCATACATTCATGATTCTATTTATATAAAGGTCAAGGGCAGTCAAGACTATTACACAGAGATAGGTATATGGTAAAGCTAAGAATAAAACAATAATGGTTAACAGTGAAGCATGCAAAGGGCTTCTAAGGGATTGTACAATTTCTTAAGCTGATAATTGAGCACCTGGATGTTGGTTTTCTCATTAGTCTTTAACTTATATACATGCATGTGACAGAATTTTTCCATTTTTGTTTTTTAATTTTTAAAATAGACTTTATTGATATCTAATTAACATATAATAAAATGCATGTGTTTAAAGTGCACAGTTTGATAGGTCTCAACAGAAATTTTAATTAAAAAAACTGTCTAGCCGAAACCAGTTTGGCTCAGTGGATAGAGCGTTGGTCTGCAGACTGAAAGGTCCCAGGTTCGATTCCGGTCCAGGGCATGTACATTGATTGGGGGCACATCCCCAGTAGAGGGTGTGCATGAGGCAGCTGGTCGATGTTTCTCTCTCATCTATGTTTCTAGCTTCTCTATCCCTCTCCTTTCCTCTCTGTAAAATAAATAAATAAAATATATATTTTTTAAAAATAAAAAAATTGTCTAAGCAAAGAAAGCATATGGTTAAAAAATGAGTACAGAAAAGACTGTAAAATCATTATACTATGCAGATTTCTAGTAGTTTTTCATCAGATGAGGATGTATATGAGATAACTTTATAACTGTAAAGTGGGGTTCATTTCTTTTTTTTCTCATCAGTGTTTCTAACTCTCTATTCTTCTTTCTTCCTCTCTGTAAAAGCTACTAACCCTGAAGTCATCCTTGACTGCTGCCATTCTCTCAAACCTCACATGCAGCCCGACAGAAATCCTAATGGCTATATTGAAACCACATCCAGAGTCTGACCACTTCTCACCCAGATGGAGCCTGCATGGCTTCCCATTTCTACCTGTCCCCCTGCCAAATCCTCTCTTCACAGCAGTTGAGAAATCAGATTATGTCACTCCCCTACTCAGAACCAAAGTCCTCACCCTGGGAACGCTCCAGAAGGCTTAGCCAATGTCACAGCCTGGCCTGCAGAGACCTCTTCAGTCAAGCACCATGTTCTCCCAGGTGTGCTGATGACAATGCCAGGAGTGGGGAGGGCGGGGGGGTGGGGGGTGGAGGTGGCTCACAGTGGCGAGAGGGGTCAGATTAGGAGCTGTGTGTGGGAGGCAGACCTAGCAGGATCCTCCTGAACTTCCTCTGCTGAGGTCTCTGAGAAGCTGACAGCCTTGAGGAGGATGCTGAACCTTGGACCCTCCACTGCCTGAGCCTGAGGGCAGGAACCATGAGTTAACAGTCCTGACTCCCAGGAGATGGACAGAGGTGAGCCCCTCAGTAGCAAGAAGCATGTCTTGCTAATCGATCACTTTTATATTGTCCAACACAGAACAGACACATAGTAGGACAGCAGGAAGACAAGGGGGTGATACTGTTGGGGCCTGGCCCTGACTTCTGGAACAGTCCTATGACCTCCACAAAGTCTTCAGCGCTCCTATACAGACCGAAGTTTTGGGCCTGACTTGGGCCCTGCCATGGCTGCCCCCTGGCCTAGAACACAATCAGGCATGCCAGAGGGACTCTAGAGAAAGGAAGGGGGGGTTTCTCCCTCCCTCTACAGACTCAGAGCAGGGTTCTTGGAAGCTCACGGGCCTTCCTCCTCTGTCCACACACAGGCTCAAAGCCCCTGCGGAATTGCCTTACCAGAGGGCCATCTGGACCTCGAGACAAAGAAGCTGGTCCTGATATTACTCACTTGGTCAATAGTTAACTACCATTATATATGACAAGATGCAACATCCTATATAATAAAGAGCTAATTTGCAATGGTTGTCACACCTTTGTGCAGGGGCTGGGGGACCTGAGGCCGCGCCCCCCCCCCCCCCCCCCCTCCCGTGAGGCTTGATGGGAGTGGAGCCAGCCGGGTCTGGGTCTCACTTGGTTTTGAGGTGTGTGTGTGGGTGGGCAGGGACTTGACTCTGTGTCCCACAGTGTGCCCCAGACTCTGACAGGAAGGAGATTTTCAAATACATTTTACTAATTTTCTTTCATCTCTGACACTTCTATTATAGAGAAAGGGCAAATAACAATATTAAAATATTTCCTCTAGTAGCCGAAACCAGTTTGGCTCAGTGGTAGATCGTCGGTCTATGGACTGAAAGGTCCCTGGTTCGATTCCGGTCAAGGGCATGTACGTTGGTTGCGGGCACATCCCCGGTGGAGGATGTGCAGGAGGCGGCTGGTTGATGTTTCTCTCTCATCGATGTTTCTGGCTCTCTATCTCTCTCCCTTCCTCTCTGTAAAAAATCAATAAAATATATTTTTTTAAAAAATATTTCCTCTAATTCCCTTTTAATGTGCATGAATTTCGTGCACTGGGCCACTAGTATAAACATAAAACACACAGTCTCTTATTACTTAAATCTTGGTTGCCTAGATTATAAGTGTGTTTTCGAACTTAAAAGAACATAAGAAGAACTGGGACAGGGGAGGGTGGTAAAGGGAGCTGATTTCTGTCTCGGTGCCCAATAGTCTGATTCAGTAGGTCTGAGGTGGGGCTCAAGAGTCTGCACTGTCAAGAAGCTCCCCTGACGGTTCCTGTACACTCAAGTCTGAGAAGCTCTGTTCTAGGATGTCACTCGGGCCTCTCAAGCTGCGGTGTCAAACTTTTTTTGACCACAAACCACAGTATGAAATTTTACACTATGACCAACGACACAAACAAAAGTTTGATGATGCAATATTTTCCCCAACCTCAGGGATACACATTTAGTTTTCTGCTATTTCCATCCCACTCACTGGTCCAGATCCACTACGTCAGTGGGCTGCAGGGCCCTGGGTTTTGACCCTGGCTGCACATCAGAATCACCTGGGGGCAAAGCAATAAGTAAAAAAGACATGTATCCATATGTCCATTGCAGTATTATTTACAATAGCCAGGATATGGAAGCAACCTAAGTGCCCACAAATAAATGAGTAAATAAAGAAGAAGTGGTACATATATACAATGAAATAAGACTCAGCCATGAAAATTTTTTTAAAACAATGAAATCTTGCCACTTACAACAACATGGATAGACCTAGAAGATATTGTGCTGAATGAAATGAGTCAGGTAAAGACAAATGCAATATGTGGAATCCAAAAAACAAGTAAAGAAACAGCACACCAGAAAGAAAAAGAAGTTACCTGGAGAGTTTTTACAGATTCCAGAGCCCAGGCCATAGCCTTGAACAATTAAATCAGAAACTCTGGGGGTGGTTGCAGGAATCGGTAGTTTATAAAGTTCCCCTAGATGATTTCAAAGTGCAGCCAAGGCCTAGGTCAGCGGTTTTTTGTTTGTTTGTTTGTTTGTTTTAATATGTTTTATTGATATTTTACAGAGAGGAAGAGAGAGGGATAGAGAGCTAGAAACATCGATGAGAGAGAATCATCGACCAGTTGCCTCCTGCACACCCCGCACTGGAGATGTGCCCGCAACCAAGGCACACGCCCCCGACCGGAATCGAACCTGGGACCCCTCAGTCCGCAGGCCGAAGCTCCATCCACTGAGCCAAACTGGTTTCGGCAGTCAGCGGTTTTTAAAGTGTGGTCCCCAGGCCAGCAGCAGCAGCCTCGTCACCTGCGAACTTGTTGGAGAGGAAAATTCTCAGGCCTTGCCCGGGACCGTCTAATCAGCGCTGGGTGTGGGGGCCAGTTCTTTGTTCTAATAAGCCCACCAGGTGATTCTGAGGCCCAACCAGTTTGAGACCCTCAATAACAACGGAACGAAACTGATTTCTTGGCCTACAAACTATCCAAAAGGGAGCCCAGATGAGGGATGACAAGGTAATACTAGGGAAGCCTTTGCCTTTCTTGCAGAGCTGGCAAGCCTCTTCCTTTTCTGATGCTGAGAGCTGCATCCGGATCTGCCCCGTGGTGTCGGCCGAGGGGAAGCTCAGAGTCCAGTCTGACCTCAACCCCAGGCACAATGTGGATCCTTACCTGCTTTCTCCTGTATTTCTCAGAAATTTTCCTGGTGTATGTGCCTTCTTCGGAAAGAAGCAGCGGGACCACAGGGCTGGTCAGTATGCTCTGGGGGTTGACGAGGCCAGAGAAGGGTGGGCACGGGAGCTGAGCACAAAGCACTTCCTGTGGCTTTCAGTGCTCACCGGGGCCCTGTCTACAAGCCCCTGACCCAAGTCAACACCATCGCTGTGGTTTCCTGTTTGCAGTTGCTGCATTCGGACCCAGCCCCCACCCCAGCAAGCCTGTTGTGTGCGTGCGTGCGTGCGTGCGTGCGTGTGTGTGTGTATGTGTGACAGCCCATCATAGTTGTTTCTAATTAGGGCAAGAACAAGAGGCTGGTCCTCACTTCTGACTATCTCCTCCCTACCCCACCACTGTGCTTGTAGTTCTACCATATTGTCAATGTGAGCCTTTCCTGGGTGTCTACAGTGAGATAAACTCTGGCTGGGTTTGAATCCCAGCTCTGCACTTCCTAGCTGTGTCTCCCCAGGCGAATTGTTTCTCTCTTCTAAGCCTCAGATTCCTCTCTGTAAAATGAGTACAACAGAAGAACAACCCCCACAGGATGGTTTGAGGGCCCTGAGAGGGCCTAAACACAACCGTGGCTGCTGCCACTCCTTCAACATGCCTCCCTGCCTCTGCTGTGAGGGACTCGGGGCAGCGGCTCAGAGGGAGGAAGGGGATCAGAGACAGACTCCATCAACGTCATGTTTTGTTTGCAAAAGGCCCTGTACCTGAGGTGGGAGAAGTCTCATAGGAATGTGCAATGTGACAGGTCCCTACGCCTCCTTAGGCCTCTTTCCCCATCTGAACAGCAGGGAAAGGAGGGTCATTTCTGGCTCTGACTGGCTGGTGCCCGAAGCACGGAGACTTGGTTCTCTTGTGAACTTTTTGCTAAGAGATAGGATCACACCTGGTGTCTTGGGAGGGAGAAGTCACTGCTGATCAGGGAAGGACGTGCTGTTGGATCCCTCCCGAGGGCTGTTGACGCCCTGTGGGAAATGTAGGTTCATGCTCAATGGCTAACAGGCTCTCATGGCAGCCAGTCAGCTAGCCTGCCTGACTCCAGCCCCTTGCATGTCACCTCTGACCTCTGCCCCCAAGTCAAGCCCCAGGAGGGCTTACCCACCTCTCCTGCTCTGGCTCTCCCGAATGAGGAAGGCCCCTCCAGGGTTTCCGGGCAGCAACAGCAATTCCTCAGCTTTCTCCCGGCTCAGGCCCTCGTACAGCCACCTGGGGAAGAAGCAGACAGGGGTCAGCCTGTGGGGGTGGGTGGCCCCCCAGCGTTGCCCTCCTGGTCCTGGCTCCAGGGGTCTCTGAGGACAACCTCCTGGGGTCAGCCCCAGCCTTTGCTGCCTGGAGATCTCACTCCCAAGAGCCCAGGGAGCCGGGAGCAAGTAGGAGATTCTAGCCTCTCTTCTACCACAGCCCATCTCCTTCCACCACTGTGCTACTCACCTGCCCGAGAATCGCCCATTGCATTTTGTTTTAAAATTTTATTACTTTTTTATTTGGGCATTTTAAAGATTCACTTTGTAGCCAAAGGTGTTCAGTCAGGCCCTGTGCTGCAGACAGTTCAGAGAAAGAGAACTTTTTTTCATTATCACAGAAATACAACTTGCAACGAAGCTGATTTGTGGACAGACAGGCTGGAAGTCAAGTGTTCAAGATGCCTAAGGTTTTGGAAAATATCCTGCAGCCCACTGGTCACCGTAACGTGCCTCTCAGAGCCCAGCCCTTCCACCACCCTGCTCCCCGATGCCTCTCTCCACGCTGGGATTTTGAATATTCTGATCCCATATTTTTCTTCCTCTTTTCCCTTAATCCCTCACCTATATACCTGTATGGACTTAACTGCAGTAGGAAGTTCAGGAATTTTCTGGTCCTAGGCCATCAGCCTCCTAAGTCCCCAGGCAAAGTCTACAGAAGCTGGTTTGACGAAAATGTTGTCTCCGTGTCATTTTGTGAAATTCCACAGTCAAAGCCAGAGTCAGGGTTGAGATGATTCCAATTAAATAGATTAGAGAAGTTGTATCCCACTTGGTGCCAGCAGCAAACTTCGACTCATCTTACAGTAAATAAAACGAGTCATTCTTGTTGACTTGTAAAAACTGTCATGTCTTATGAAAACTGAGGATGTAAAGTAGGGGTGTCGAACTCAATCAGAGAAGGGGCCAAAATCTAAAATCCAGCCTAAATCGCGGGCCGAATGGTTTACTGAACAGTCATAAACTGTCACTGTGATGGAAACGCAGCGGAGTGCAGTGATGACAGCGCGGTGCGGGCCACATTGCAAGGCCTGGCGGGACGGATTTGGCCCGCGGGCCTTGTGTTTGACACATGTGATGTAAAGGGTGGAGTGGCAAGGAAAGGGCACTTCTAGAGGGAGTCAGCATCCCGTGGCTTAAGCTTAGTGCCATGCTGGGGATGTAAAACCTCCAACCAGAAGGCCCAGACATCAGAAAACACATGGCACGGTGGGTTCACCTGGCTTGCAGACACTCTGAGAGCTGCTTCTGTGCGGTGCCCACATGAGCCAGGGTCCCTGTGTTACTCTCAGCAGAGCCAGACGCACCGTGAGGCCCAGACCAGGACGGCCATGCCGTGCTGCAGCCCTGCCTCCCTCAGAGCTCAAGAGTGGAGGTCACAGCTTGCACTTGCACGGGGACACGTACCTGGCCCCGTGTGGTTCAGATAGGTCCCACCCAAAGGCACTGCACTGCCTTCCTCTCTCCAGGCACAGAATTGGCTCTGGAGTCAGTTTCTTTTGTCACTCACTTTTGGCAGAGAGATGGCAGTGCTCTGTGGAGACCCTGTGTCTCGTGTCTCCACCCCCTCCCCAGAGGCCCTTGTTTTCTTGCCTCAGGACATTTATTCAGGCTGCTCCATCTCCTGCAAGCACCCCTTAGCATTCTCTACCAGCACCACCACATGGCCTGCAAACCACCTCCTCTGGGCTCCCAAGTCTTGCAGGCCTGTCTGCTCCTGAGGGCAGAGCCTGGGCCTGATTCTCCCCCGTCCCCAGCTTTGTTCAGCACAGGACTGGACATAACGGACTACACTTGTGGGAAGTGAAAGCAAGAAGGTCCCCTAAAGCAGGGCCTGGAGTGGATACTCACCCATGGGAGATTTTGGCCACATGGATGCTAGGGATGCTGTACTCTCTGCCCGAGCCCTCTGACAGCACCGTCCACCAGTCTCCGTCTCTGCAGAGAGAAAGGAGGGAGACCCCTCTCAGCAGGCCCTTCCAGCTGGATCCCACCTGAGTTTCCCAGGTTTTCTTGCACCAACTAATCCAGGTACCCCCTGGGCAATAGATGACCCCTGTATGGCCTGCCCACCCACTGCTTCTCCCTGTAGGTGTGTCATGCTGCCTGAAATCCCAACATTAGGGCCACATGGGAGCTCGGCACCAAAGGCCATGTTCTTTTCTCCTGGAGGGAGTGGCCTTTTCTCCCATCAGTGCATCTTCAGGTATTGGGGGGGGGGGGGGGCGGGGAAGGGCGGGGGGATCATCCCACACAATGCCCTTGGAATGACTTACTCAGAGAGGATGGTCAGTGGCTCCCCCAGTCTCAGTGACAGCTCTGCCTGCTCTCCTACCGGGAAACTGCCCAGGGCCACGGCTGTGGGCTTTCTCCTCTCTGGATGGAGGGACAGAGATGGTCACCCTCTTGGCCAGCCCTGCCTCCAGATGTGAGATCTAGGAGTCTGGGATCCCACCGTCAACCCTCACACAGGCATCCTGGGCTGGTTCCTATGTGTCCTCTCAGACACACGTGGAGATCCCTGTGGTGACCCCAGATAGGAGTGATCTCTTTCTCTGAACTGTCTGCAGCACAGGGCCTGGGCATGCCATGGAGCAGGGAAATTCCTGACGCCCGAATAAACAATGCAAGCAAGTCTTGTGGAGGGCATCCTGCAATAAGGGCAAAACCAGGTTCCTGGGAAGGGCCCCTCCCCCTTCTGGAAGCCCTGGCCATGCACCTCTAGGAACTGCTCAGCTGCATACGTTATCCCCTGGGTTGCCCCCCTCCCCCTGGCTGACTCACCAGCACCCTTCACTCCCCCCCTGACATGTCCCTTCCTTACGGAAGCCTTCCCTGACAAGCCTCTTAGCAGACACTCTTGGTCAGAGTCCCTTACATCATTGTTGACACAATCTAACAGAGTAGTAACTGATTGCTGGTTAAGCACCCATCTCTGGGACTTGGTTGTCCCTGAAGGCAGGGACTGTGGTCTTGTCTGCTACTGTGAACCCTGGCTGTGCGTGTACAAGGCCTGGCACAAAAGCCGTAGCTTTTGGATGGATGTAAGTCTGAGGCACAGACAACGCATGGAACGGGGTGCCCAAAAGCTATGTTTCTGCTGTGAACAGAACTAGACCTGCCGAGAGAGGCCCGCCCTTTTCCTGGGGACCCTGGCAGAGGAGGGAGCATGGGCCCCCGAAGGCAGGACACCTGCATGGGGCCTGGGAGATCCAACCCCCCACCCCACCCCAGCAGCCTGGGCATGACTCAAGAGCTGCCCCGGGGCTGCTGCCTACAGCTAGATTCAGAGGAAATGAGGTGGCGGTGGGTCTGTGGTTTCCAGGTCTCTTCCTGAGAGGCCTGCTGGGCCCCAGGCTCTCTGTGCAGACTGTGTGGCTACAGGGCCGAGGGCTTTGGGACTCAGTGTCTGTAGTGGCTGGAGAGGCTGGCATTAGGGAGATGAGGATATTGGGGGCAGGGGCTGAGGAGAGGGAAGGAAGCCCCAGACATTGTAAGAGTGTTTTCAGACTCAGACAGAATCCTGCCCAACACTCATAAGCAGACATTTGGTTCTGCCATCTCCTAGTTCTGTTTAAGTGTGTTTTCCATGTCCTTCCTCCTAAAGGTGCCATGTGGTGTAGAGTAATTCTGTTATCTGTGATGGTTAATTTTATGTCTCAATGTGGCTAGCCCACAATCCCCAGATATCTGGTCAAACACCAGCCTAGATGTTCCTATAGAGGTATTTTTTAGATGTGATTAACATTTTAAATCAGGCACTCTGAATAAAACAGATTACCCTCCATAATGAGCATGGGTCTCTTCCAATCACTTGAAGGTGTTAAGAAAACAGACTGAGGTCCACTGAGGAAGAGGGAATTCTGCTTCCAGACTCAACTCTGGAATTCTGCAGCATTAGCTCTTCCCTGGGTCACCAGCCTGTCGGCCTGCCCCACAAATTTGAAACTTGCCAGCCCCTACAATTGCATGAGCCAATTTCTTTTTTTTTTCTTTTTAATACATTTTATTGATTTTTTACAGAGAGGAAGGGTGAGAGATAGAGAGCTAGAAACACCAATGAGAGAGAAACATTGACCAGCTGCCTCCTGCACACACACCCTCCCAGGGATGTGCCCACAACCAATGTACATGCCCTTGACTGGAATCGAACCTTGTACCCTTCAGTCCGCAGACCGACGCTCTACCACTGAGCCAAATTGGTTTCGGCATGAGCCAATTTCTTAAAATAAATTCTCTCTGTGTCTACCACACACACACACACACACACACACACACACACACACATATCAATACCTCATTGGTTTTGTGGTTCTGTTTCTCTGCAGAACTCCAATGAATACATTATCAAAACCCCAAATCAGCCTCATTGAGAAAGGATGTATGGGCTATTTTGGGGAACAAGAACCAAACTAGGGGCAGTAGCTTGACATAAATATATTAGAACTTGTTTTGATTGTCTAATTGTCCTAAAAAGTAGCATTTTTTATTCAGGACTACCTTAGAAAATAATAGCTATAGGTTCAACATGTTCATTGTATATGCCAATTTTTTTCCAATTGTCATAGCTCTAATTTCGCTTTAAGTATTTCACAGCACCTCTCAGGATAAGAGGAGAGGCTTTGGGGCATCATTGCCTAGTAGAATTTTATAGATAGAAATGATGATGGAAATGTTGCTGGGAAGCAATGGGAAGCAATTAAGGTAGCCAGTAGCTATATTTGGCTTTGAGCACTTACGATGCAGCTAGTGTGTCTTGAAGAGCTGAATATTTAATTTTATTTCATTTAAATTAATGTTAACTTAAATTTAAATAGCATCAAACAATTAGAGAATATTTTAACAGACAGTGCAGTTATGGAGAGCTGCAGAAGTGGGATTGGTCTTAGAGTTGCCAGCTCAGTCTCCAAATAAATTGGTTGGGAATGCCTGGAGGACTGTCCCCCAGCCTGGTTAGCACCTGTCACTCTCTTAGATGTTCTCCTTTACGTGGTTGTTTAATGCTGACTGCTAAACTGTAAGCTCTACCAGAGCAGGGCCCTGCCTGGATGGCTCCCGGGGAGGGCCTGGTATACAGCAGGCACTCAATGACACTTGAAGCTGTTTGGAGTGTCTGGTCAGGAAGGTCCTGTGCAGCCTGATGGTGCCTGGGAAAGATGTGGCTATTCTGGGCCCCGTAGCTTACCTGGTTGCATGGGTACAGGGTCCAGGACTTGGACCGATGGACTTGAGTTTGGGCTTGGCAGGGTTTTCCCTCTGCTGGGCTGACTTCCCATTGCTCCTCAGAAGAGCTCTCAGAAGCTCATCGTGGAGAGAAATCTGAAAGAGATGCTGTGATGGGACAGAACTGTGGCCCCGGGCCTGGTGTGGCCCCCTCCCTCCCTGGCTCTGTCCTACTAACCTCCTTGCTGATGCCTGCAAATACTCTCCCTCCCATCAGGACCAGGCTCCAGACTGTGAAGGTCTCCTCAAAGCGGACCCCTTTTCACCCTGCAGCCATGCTGTTCTGTTTCTGGGCCTTTGTGTGTGTGGTGCACCCTCCCATTGGCTGGAATGTCCTATTTCCCCTTCAGGGCTGCCTTAATCCCACCTTATCCCAGGAAGCTTTCTCTGAATTCCCCCAGCCCTTGCAGTTCATTCAGATGGCCCATTCAGAACCATTTCCTGACCTGGGATCATATTGTGGGTGGCAGGGGACAATGATAGGTCAGAATTCACTCTAGGCAAATCAGAACCCATGGCTCGGGTTGGAAGTGGACAAGGGAGCCCTAGCCAGTTTGGCTCATTGGATAACGTGTTGGCCTGCAGACCAAAGGGTCCCGGGTTCAATTTCGGTCAAGGGCATGTATCTTGGTCGCAGGCTCCTTCCTGGTCTGGGCCCTAGTCGGGGTGTGCACAGGAGGCAACCAATTGACTGTGTTTCTCTCCCATCGGTATGTCTCTGCCTTTCCTTCTTTCTTCCACTCTCTCTAAAAGATCAACGGAAAATGTCCTCCAGTGAGGATTAACAACAACAAAAAAGTGGACAAGGGGAATCTGGAGTCACAGCAAGCTAAGGTGACACTGGGCAAAGTAAGATGACTTGGAGACTGTGTGACACTGTGATGACTTGCAAGGCTTTGGAAGATTGGTGTGAGCCATTTCCTCTCTGCCTCCATTTCCTCATCGGAAAAATGGGGATAACAATACTTAACATACGGGTCCTAGAGATAACACACATGTGAAAAGCCTGCTTTTCCGTTACTCTGCCCTGAATGTCACTTCACCAGAGGCTGCTCCTAAGAGCCTCCCCTTTTCTGTCTTGGCTCCCTGTTGTGTTCCTTCCTGTTTTATTCATTTATTAAAGCTTTTGTTTATTTAGTACTAGAGGCCCGGTGCACTGGGGGCGGGGGTACAGGATCCCTCAGCCTGGCCTGTCCTCTCTCGGTGCAGGACTTCTCTTCTCGCTCCTTACTGTCTGCCTGCTTGCTGCTCCCTACAGCTTGGCTGCTGCTCCTTAGTGCTGCCGCAGAGGCTCCTTCCTGCATGAGCCCAGCTCCTGGCTGAGCCGCATTTCTCCCTATGCAAGTGCACTGACCACCAGGGGGCAGCTCCTGCATTGAGCGCCTGCAACCTGGTGGTCAGTTCATAGTGACCAGTCATTCTATCTTTTGGTCGATTTGCATATTAGGGTTTTATTATACAGGATGCCATTATTCTACAGCTCAATGAAGATGGGACCTCTCTTTATTTGCCTGTCCCCCCCCCCCCCCCAGCATTTTGTGAGGCCCTTGGCCCATAGAAGGTGGTCAATACATATGAACTAAATGGGTGAATGTAATTATTAGTTCTTTGGACAGGGGTCTTAAAAAACAACAAACAAACAAACAAAAATGAGGAGGGAGAGGAGAGACTTGTTGTTCCACCCATTTGTGCATTCAGTGGTTGATGCTTGTATGTTCCCGACAGGGGATGGAACCTGCAACCTTGGCTTACTGGGATGAGGCTCTAACCAAATGAGCTAGCTGACTAGGGCTGGTCAGCTGCCTTATCCTTAAAATAATTTAAATTCCCAGGTTTCCAGGGTAATGCTGATTTTTCTAAACACTGTTTTAAAGTGTTTCATGGAGGTGGTTTCATTCCTTTCAGCAGAGAGATGCATAATTACACCAGTTTGTGAGAGAGCAGGCTCAGCCCTTACCCTTGAACCCTAACACCAAGCCCGGGTGAGGACAGGTGTCCGTCACTATCATGGACTGACTTCTATGGCCTCACAGGCCAGTCCTGTCCGGAGTAAAAATCCTTGCAACTACATGTGCAAGGGACGTGCCCTCAGCTCTGCCATCTTGTCATCAGCAGGAGCTGACAGTGCCTGGTTCTGCTGCCTCCCACTGGGGCGTCAGGACTCATGGGACAGGCGCTCTTAAGACAAAGCAGGCCTCCTTAGGAAGTGCCTCCTGCTGACTTTGGGATTCTGAAGCCTCGGCAGCCTACATGGTGCTGCTGCCTCCTCAGGTCTCCGACTCCCTCGCTGCTAAGGCATCCCTTCAGGTCAGGCTTTCAACATTCCTGCCCTCCCCAGCCTTTCCCCTGGAGTATGAGGTGCGGACTCTGTTTACTGTGCAGAAAATCCTAGGGGGACATCTTTCCTAGGTGGCACGAGGGATTAATTCAGGCCACCCAGGCTGGGGCTGTGTGACCTCAGAAAGGGCATGCGACCTTTCCATCTCATCTGTGATTAGGGATAACGCAGAGTCCACAGGGCTATGGGGGAGTTGAGGAGCCTGGCACAGAATGGTGCTCAGTAAAGGCTGGTTTTTCCCCCTCCTTCAGCAAGAAAAGTCACCACAAGCACCAACTGTGCTGAACCCAGAAACTTCTTCCCGCAGCAGGTGGAGCTGGGGGATGGGCCGGAGGAAGCAGAAGCCCCAGCACCCTCGGCTAGCTCCCTCCACCTGTGGGGCCAGGCAGCCTCCTGGGGGAGCAAAATGAAGACCACGGGGTGGGCAGGCCTAGGAGGAGGGGGGCTGGCCAAAACTTTCAAAACAGAGGATCTAATAATTAATAATAGAAGCATTCTAATAACTTACTGTGTGTTAGGGGACCTGGGCCAGTGGGTGGAAGGAGGCAGTAAAAGCAGCGAAGATCAGCACAATGCCCACAATTGTTTTCACATCATTTCACCTGATCCTTTGAGAGGCCTGCATTTGAATTCCACTCAGATACAAGAACCAGGGCCCACAGAGCCCACCCTCACTCATGCTCACTGTCACACAGCTGGTCAGTGCAGAGCGAGGCCTGCCATTCCTGCCTTGGTGTGTTTGTGCTTCCGAGGATAATTTGTCAGTGGTGCAGCAAGAGTGATAAGTTTGGCCCTAGCTGGTTTGGCTCAGTGGATAGAGCGTCGGCCTGCGGACTCAAAGGTCCCAGGTTCAATTCGGTCAAGGGCATGTACCTTGGTTGCGGGCACATCCCCAGTGGGAGGTGTGCAGGAGGCAGCTGATCGATGTTTCTCTCTCATCAATGTTTCAAACTCTCTATCCCTCTCCCTTCCTCTCTGTAAAAAAATCAATAAAATATATATTAAAACAAACAAACAAAAAGAGTGGTAAGTTTGGATTGGGCTCCCTCTGTTAGCTGAGAAATACCACCCTTTTGAGAGGAACTGACAATACTAGAGTTGAAAGTGTCTTCAGAGATTACAATCCCGACTTCTCTCATTCCCTGAAGTTGGAAAGTCACACAGCAAGTTGGTAACGGAGCTGGGACCAGACGAGGCATGCAGACATGCTGGAGGGCACAGTGATTCTCCAGAGGACAGAGGTGTGCGGGAGGGGGGGGGGGGGGGCTCGGTTCCTTCAGAACCCTTAGAAACCACCCTTACCCTAAGTAGAAACCTCCGTCCTGAGCTTCCTCCCAACTAGAAAGCCCACTCCAGTCTCCGAGGGGCCCGTCCTTCCCAAGGCCCAAGGCCATCGGAAAACAAAACAAGCGTACTTACTGTTCTCCTGTCACCCGAGGCTTGGAATGGGGGCTCCGCTGAGACACATGCTCTGGCTGGAGAGGTTAGGGCTGTGGGGGATCCTTCTGGAAGCCTGTCAACATCCTTAGTCCTAGGACACCCAGCGCCCTCTTGGCCTGGGAGAATCTTCAGGGAGAGGCCCTCGATAGGGCTTTTTGGCAGCCTGGTTTCTGCCTGTGGCTGGTTACCTGGGATGGGACGGGAGCCTGGACTGGGGGAGCCTCCCAAGCACAAGTGGGCCAGAGGAGGCCCGGAGCTCTCTGAGCCCGTGGCAGAGTCCTCGGGGCTCCTCGCTCACATCTGCAGACTCTGTGGTTCTCACAACCACTCATTTCCTCTGACGGCATCACAGACCATCAAGGAGCCACCTTCCCCAAGTTCCTGTTTCCTGGGCAGAAGCAGCTGCCTTGTCATGATCCTGGAGGGAGAGGTTTTTTGTTTTGTTTTTCTGCCTTCACAGCTTGGTCTTACCCAAGGAACACAAAACTGAGGCAAATGAGCAGGAGTCTCCAGGTTTACCTGATTATAATATTCACCGGAGGGGCTTGTTAGTATCAGAACCTTGAGATTCTCCCACATCTGAATGCAAGTCACCGGAGGAGCAGCCTAGGACTCTGGATTTTAAACAAGGTAAGCAATCCCTGTGCCTGGCAAGTCCAGGAAGCACTGCCCTGGAGTGATGTGCCCCAACCTTCCATGTGTATAGGAATCACCCAGGGATCTTGTTCACAGCAGATTCGGGTAAGTGTGTCTGTGGTGGGTGGGGTTCAGAGTCTGCATTGCTAACTACTCCCAGGTGACACCCTTGTTGCTGTTCTGCAGACACTTTGAGTAGCAAGACCTTTGGGTAGCGCTTCTCCAAGTGTGGTCCTTGGAGACCAGCAGCCTCAGCATCATCCAGGAATTGTTAGACATGCACATTCCCGGGCCCTATCTCAGATCTACTGAGCAAGGAACAATCTTTCACAAGCCTTCCAGGTAACTCTGATGCACACCCCGAGCTTGGAAATCACTCAACTGGGATAAAGAATCTCTGATACCATGGCCTTTGATCATTGTTACCTTCAGTCACAGAAACGTAACTTAAGTTCCCAGCTTGTTGAAATCGCAATAACCAAACCCACTTGCAGCCTTTCCATTAGGGGGCTTAGTGTTACTGCAGATTTTTTAAAACACCAAATGACCCACCGCTCTGATACAGCGGACTCCAGCTCAGGTTCTCCATTTCTGCTCGGCAAGGTTGGTTTGGCGTGAACGCCATGAGCACTGGGCATGGAGAGCTGAAGGAGTCAGAGGGGAGGTGCACTCCACTAGAGCCTAGATCCGACCTTAGCAGCTTTGTGACCATTTCTCATCCAAAAAATGGAACTAGCGTGTATCTCACTGGGCCAATAGAAGGAAACATATAGGAAGGCGCTAAGGGCCCAGCCTGTAGCAGGTGCTCAAAAAAAATACATTGATTTTTGGAAGAACTAGGAACATTTTCTAGTGAGTGACCTTGGCCAAATAACTTAACTCTCCTCAGCTGTTCTCTGTAAGACAATCCACTTTGCCATGTGAACTGGATTAAATGATTTGGAAGAGAGCTTTTGAAAAAAATATATATCTTTATTTATTTTAGAGAGGAAGGGAGGAGAGAGAGAGCTGCTTCCTGCATACCCCACTACTGGGGATCAAGCCCACAACCGGGACATGTACCCTGACCGGAATTGAACTGTGACCTCCTGGTTCATAAATCAATGCTCAACCACTGAGCTATGCCAGCTGGGCTGGAAGAGAGCTTTATCCAATCTCACAGATAGTATACCTGGCCACTTCCCTTTCTCTCACAAAGCCCGCACCCAAAAATTTTTTGGACTGAACAGGAAGAAAATGAAAATTAGAAGAGGAAAGAGTGCAGTTAGGGTCAGTAAGGTGCATTCAGTTGAGGCCTGACTCCAGGCACAAGGCTAAGATGGGAAACCATTCCTGCCAAGTGGGGCCAAAAAGGCTGCAGCAGTGTGGATTATAAGAGGAACTGTCCATCAGACTCCGCCAGCTCTGGACTCTGTGTTGGCCTGCAATGTCGGGAACTCAGCTTGGTGGCCTGTATCTGTCCGCGTGCATGTTTCATCTTCTCTACCAGACTGAGCAGGGTCCGAGTCATTTTACCAGTTTCTCCCACAGACACTGCAACCTTGCTATACTATGGCTGTAGCACCTCCTGGATCATTCAAACTTAACCTGAGACGGTGGCCTCCTGAAATTATTCTTGGTGGGTACAGAGAGAGACATTTCCGGATAAATACAGGCTGGTCTGTTTGAAAAACCAAAAAGTGGCTGTAGATTATTGCTGAGGGGCAGACGCAGCAACCCCACACCTTTCCAAGACCTCAGCTTCCCCTCCGTCACGAGCCATGGTTGGACTTCTCACGATTTTTGGTTTGGATAGAGGATGTGTGAGACAGACTTGGGCTTCCGGTATGACCTTAGGCAAATTATTTATCCCAAGACTTCATTTCTTCGCTGGGTGGGATGGATGATCAAGTATGTGGAAATGCCCAGCACAGAGCCCATATTCAGTAACTTGGTCCCTCCCTGAGCCCCAGTGAGTGGCTTGAGAGAAATAAGACCAGCAGTTGGGTAACAATGAGACATATACAGCTTTATTTAATAATCTGTAAAAAGTTGTACTCTGGCAGAGTGACGCATTCCCAATCTTGGCAGAAAGCGAATACTACGGCGAAAAGCCCCTTCCTAAGATTTGGAACTATGCCGCCCTGTGTTTTCATCTCGATGCTCTCAGTAGCTGGCCCTGGCTGTGTGGCAGCTGGTTTAACCCTCCACCCAGCGATACTCACATCGTAGTAGAATGAACACAGTTTTACCTGGACAGGCTGCCTTACAGACTGATCCCTTCCCTCCTACAAAAGTGTTCACAGAATTAAGAATCTTCCTGAGAAATGAGTTCTATCTCAACTTCACTTAGCTTCCATTAAGTGTGCTGCAAAAAAAGACTATACTTATTAAATAGGATATTATGTTAATGCCAGTTCCTCTTCCCACTGCCATTTCTTCACTGCTGACATAATTTTCAGGCCATACCTCTCTCTTTTTGGAGGATGGAGAGTGTTTCTCCATCTCTCCATCACAGACCTGGTAGTAGGATCAGACAGTTTTGCTCCAGCAGAGTGAATACCTGGTATTTAGTTTTCAACCTTCTTGTTCTAATAGAGCACATGTGTCAAACACAAGGCCCGCGGGCCAAATCCGTACCGCCAGGCCTTGCAATGTGGCCCGCACTGCGCTGTCATCACTGCACTCCACTGCGTTTCCATCACAATGACAGTTTATGACTGTTCAGTAAACCATTCGGCCCGCGATTTAGGCTGGATTTTAGATTTTGGCCCCTTCTCTGATTGAGTTCGACACCCCTATAATAGAGTCTAATAATTAAGCCACGCCCACTTCTTGGAAACTACTCCATGTTGCACCAGAATCTCATTATTCATGGGCTTCTAACAGTACATATCCCTCCCTTGTATTTATAGAATAGTGTATGAGAATTCATTTGGACAGGAGGAGGTGGCTGGGCACCCCGCCTGCTTCTCTATGTAGCAGGCTCCCTTCTATTGGTCACAATCAGTCAAGATTCCAAACAGTAATTATGATCGTCCACATTTCTCAGAGCTGCTCTCTTCAGAAGTCACCTTGCAAAGCTTGTTGACCAATTTGGAACCAAAAGAGAATGTAGTAACCTCCCCAATCTAGAAAGCTGTTCTGTGTATTTCCCCTAAAAACACCATTGAAAATGCAAAAAAAGTCCCTTTTTTGTTTTTTGTTTTGTTTTGCAGAAGCTCTACAAGAAAGCATGTCTAAAACCACAGATCTACGCACACATAAACACAGACACGCGTGCTCACACACATACGTCAGGATTAAAGAATCTTATCAGATATGTAGTTGGGAAAGCATGGAGAAAAGCTGGTAAGAGAAGATGTGGAGATTTGATCAGTTAAGGATGTTGGAATGTTACAGTAATGGCATGGAAGTGGTTCCTGGTACATACAAAAAGGGGCGTGGGCAGGCAGAGAATGATAAATCCAGGATACCAGAGAGAAAGAGTCAGTGGTCATGCAGGAGTTAAAGATAGATGCTGGTTTGCTGGATGAAATGTTATATTGTGGAGTGGTCGTTGGAGGAGGATGGACTTGCATGGTCTAGGGGAGGAGCATCTGCTTAGCAGGACACCTCCATGGTCTGGTGTCTGTCCAGAACATCAGGGGACTCAGCGGATTCTTGAGTTCCATCTGACTGATTGCTGGTAACAGATCGGCTGAAGGTACTTTCTCCAGAGCCGATACTACTTGAGGTTGAGTGGGTTCGTGATCGGACGAGCCGGGTCATGCTGGCAGATGGTACTGGAAAAAAGAACCAAGAGGACTAGAAGATGGAGCTCTGGTTAAACTCAGTTAATCCAGAAGTTTCACCAAAGGCTTTATGTTTAGCTTTCCCAATCCATTTAAGGTGATACCCAGGACAAGATAAAGCCATCTTCACTTTGCATTATTTGCTCTAGGTGAGTTGCTATATGCAAGGCTGCTTTAATCCTCTAGATCTGGAATCTTAGTTGATTCTTGTTCACAGAAGAACAAGGAGAAACCTAAGTCCAGAGAATGCCCACGCCATTCATAATGAAAAATTAGGGAGGAAGCTCTGGGAACCCACACAGGTAACCAAAACCTGTAGTGCATGCAAGAATAAACCAAAAAGAAAGACAAACCACACAAGTATGAAGGTGTTTCACAAACACAGTGCAAGCCCGATACAACAAGACTACCATCCATGTCCACAGGCTACCTTGCTAGCTGGGGAGGAGACATGTACGAAGGTGTGGGTTAGAGAGGGCTGGAGGGCCTGAAGCTGGTGGCTGCCTGAGTGGGAAGGGCTCTGAGGGTGGGTGTTTAACTCAGACTCCTGTTCTGCCACTGCTTTGAGCCCAAGGTCCTCCACTCAGCCAGAACAGGGCCTTACCTGGCATAACCTCTCTGCCTATCATCCTGAAGCACAGCCATTCACCCCGGCTGTTACTTCGATGCTGGGGTCAAAAGATGCCATCACTTGCAGAAATTTCTAGGTATAGGTTCTGATGATCCTATTTAGAATCAAGGCAGCCCTTTGATTCCTGTATCTGGGAGTTAATACAAGTTTCTTAAGTAATGGGGGAAAAGGGCCCTGCCTATAAGGCTTCAGTGCTCCTGTAACTCAACTTAGGATGATGAGAGGGAAGCACTATTACTAGTATAACCCACTCCTTTCTTCCTTCCTGGGGGCCCAAGCTAACACTCTGGGGGGAAATGAACCACGTTCTATCAGGCTCTCACTGCACAGGAAAACTGCGGACATGCTGCAGGCAGCCAATGCAGCGGGAGAGCATGGCTGGGAGGTGGGAGCAGGGCCAGCACAGAGGAAGGTACCTGACTCGGTGCTCAGGTGACTGAGCTGCACATACGGGACTGGAAGCAGGTGGACACAGGAAAAGGCAGGTTAGTGACCCATGAGTGCCAAGTGACAACCTCAGCTGCCTGGCAGACACTGACAGAATACTCTTAAGCCAAGGATTAAGTTTGTTTGTTTGTTTTTTAGGATTAAGTTTTTGTTTTTTACGTTTTAAATATGTTTAGAAAACAAAACAAAACAAAACAACGATTTTAGAGATAAGAGAGAGGGAGAGAAACATTGATGTGAAGGAGAAATATCAATTGGCTGCTCCAGTACCTTCCCTACTGAGGATCAAGCCTGCAACCCAGGCATGTGTCCTGACCCCAAACAGAATCAGCAACCTTCTGGTACATGAGATGACATGCAATCAACTGAGCTAAATACATCAACCAGAGTGCCAGGGTTGAAGTTTTATCTCAGACAGGTGAGGCTGATGGATGCTCTATAGAATCTCAGATATTAATTCTCTCAACCAGTTTAAGGTAATAGTCTTCCCCTCCACTATAAACAGCATTCTCTGCTTTGGATTAGAAATGGGCTGGAAGGCCCGGCTGGTGTGTCTCAGTGGTTGAGCATCGACCTATATGAACCAGGGGTCATGGTTTGATTCCCAGTCAGGGCACATGCCTGGGTTACGGACTCAATCCCCAGTAGGGGGCATGTAAGAGGTAGCCGATTAATTATCCTCTCTCATCATTAATGTTTCTATCTCTTTCTCCTCCCTTCCTCTCTGAAATCAATAAAAATATATTAAAAGGAAAAAAAAGAGAAAGAAATGGGCTGGGAGATGGACTTCCCAATGGCCATTATCCGCATTAATACCAAAAACAGGAGAAAACCACCCTCCTAGGCGAACAGCTCTGTACCCAGGAGGAGAGTTTTCCTTAAAACTCCAAGAAAGGAGCAAGTGTGGATAGTCTGTGACAAACGAGGAAGCTCAGGGGTCTCAGAATTCAAGATCAGGACAGCGGCATGTGCTTTGGACACATCCTTTGACTCACTCTCAATTACTCTAAGTTCACCGCCTGCTGTGGAGCAGATTTACCTGAGGGCGCTACTCTTTTCTTCCCTAGTCGCCCTTCTGTTTCTCTAAGCCAGCAGTCACCAACCGGCGGTCAGCGGACCACTGGTGGTCTGTGAGATCTGCAAGGTTGGCAACCGCTGCTCTAGGTCAGGAGCCATTAACCAGCTGAGTTTAAACACAAATCATAATTTCAGATTTATAGCTAGGCCAGCCTAAGCTTCAGTGGTTCAACGTGGGGGCTCTGCAATCAGACGGCCAGGGTTTGAACATGGCTCTGTGGCTGAACGTTACACTCTGGGAAATGTACTTAGCTTCTTTGAGCCTTAATTTCTTCTATAAAATAGGACAAATAGAATTTACCTCTTAAGGTTATAAATACAGAGTGCCTGGTATGTAACTCTATAATCTCTAATTGCTTAGTAAGTGTTAGCTTATCATATACACACACACACACACACTGCGGAACTGTTTTGGTTTCTACTTGATTTCAGACTGGCTAGCACAGAGAATTGTGGGCTCCCACAAGATGTCAAAATGACCCGAACACCGATAAATTTTTGCTAGATAGAAAGTTGTATACTACTCACTGTATCCCATTCCCTGCAGAAAGTACTTGAAGGCCTCGGTGAGCTTCCCGGGCTAGGGTGACAAAATAAGAAGGCATTAATGTTTGTACAAGCAATGAGGCAGAGTCAAATAATGCTTTTTTAAAAAAAACAAAAAAACACCTCCTTACCTGAACTACTTGGGGCAGTCCACCACAGTCTGCCATCTAAGAGGAAAAATATGTAAGTCAGCTGAAACTTACACTTAGGGGAAATGCTCTGAATATCCACTAGTCCTTTCAAACAGGATAGGATTGAATTTTAGTTTCCTCAACTTAATGTTTAACTGCGTCCAAGTGCATCTCCTCAATGCACTCTTACCCAAAGACATATTCGAGCAATGACCTAGTACATAATCTGAAAATACTGTTACTCCTGGCGTTCAGGCCCACAGTGGGACTCTTCTGTTAGGGGTGGTGGTGAAGTTAACCACCACCATCAACCATGGTTCCGCCTCCACCTGCAATGTAACTCTCAGAGTCCTCCGTGTGACCCTAACTTCTCAGGGTTCCATGTGTTCCAAGTTTCCTCTCAGCTCTATGTAATATTTATTCCATGCCTAAGGGCCCCGGCCGGTTTGGCTCAGTGGACAGAGGGCTGGCCTGCAGACCGAAGGGTCCCCGGGTTGCAGGCTCCTCCCCGGCCCTGGCCCTGGTCAGGGCATGAGGAAGAGGCAACCAATTGATGTGTTTCTCTCACATCGATGTTGCCCTCTGTCTCTCTCTCTCTCTTTCACTCTCTCTAAAAATCAATGGAAAAATACCCTTGAGTGAGGATTAAAAAAATAAATTAAAAATCAGGTGCTGATGTGAATTCAGCCAACTCGCTTGGTCAGCCACTTTCCTGCCATAGATTTGATGAGGCTGTCTCTCACTTCACTAATCTTCTTTTCTTTTTTAAAATCTTTTAGCTAATTTTTAAAATTTATTTTTAGAGAGAGAGAAAGGAAGAGGGAGAGAGAAACATTGATCAGTTGCCTCCTGCATGCACCCCGACTGGGGATCAAACCTGCAAGCTGGGTATGTGCCCTGATTGGGAATTGAACTGGCGACCTTTTGATGTACATGATGACAACTAACCGAGCCACACAGGTCAGGGCACTTCATAAATCTTTACATCTGATTATCCTCACTTGTGCAAGGATTTCAAGGGTTCTGTTAGCATGCATTGGAATTACCTGGAAAACTCGTTAAAACTCAGAATCTTGGGTTCCTGCTCTAGAGATTCTGGGGTGGGGTCAAGAATTTGCATTTGCAACAAACTCCCAGGTGATGCAGATTCTGTCAGTCTGCAGAGAATACTGTTTCTAGAGCATGATGGCCAACCAAGAGCCCACCCTTCTCCTTCCCGTTATGCATGTGGTACTCAGAAAGTATGCTGTTTAGGCTGACTGGCATTTAAAAAAAACTATGTGAACGGCATGGTTTGTATTCACGAGCACAAAACTTTCCTTAAGGGAGGGACTGTTATTTAGCACATGGGATACTACAGACAGTAAAGAAATTTGGGGTTAATAAGAAATAGTGCCAAAACCAGTTTGGCTCAGTGGATAGAGCATCGGCCTGTGGACTGAAGGGTCCCAGGTTCGATTCCGGTCAAGGGCATGTACTGTGGTTGCGGGCACATCCCCGGTAGGGGGTGTGCAGGAGGCAGCTGATCGATGATTCTCTCTCATCAATGTTTCTAGCTCTCTATCCCTCTCTCTTTCTCTCTGTAAAAAAATCAATAAAATATATTATAAAAAAAAGAAAAAGAAATAGTCCCCTGAAAATTACAAATATAAGAGCAGGAACAGACATTTAACATGATTTAAGTATAAAACAGACCTAACTGGCAAAGGTTATATCTTTACGATGTTTAGAAATCAAAATCTGATTAGAACCATAAATCAGTTGCCATATGCAGAGAAAGAATATTGAGAGAAACTATTTCCAAGCTTGACTTTTATCAAATAGTTGGAAAGTCAGTTCACTCATAGGGTTGTAGATGGGCATTTTTGCCCACATCTATGGCTACTGCAAAGTTCACTTTTCTGTTTCTGGAGTATGGATTCAAACCTGCAGGGAGAAACTAATTTGAAATCACATACTTTAAAAACATTCATATTTTAAAGTAGTTCATCAATCACCTGGGCCCCAGAACACCTAAGTTTTGTCACCTCTGAGTATTAACCTCATATTATATTTCCAGGAACTATGGGCTGCTTCTGGTGACAGCACTTCCTTTTCAATCACACTTCAAAGAGAAAGGGAAGAAAGCAGGTGTTCCAGGCTGAGAAGGCAGCAGCAGTAAGCAACATAAAATCAGCACTCATGTCTCCAGTATTCCAAATTTGAACCAAAGGCTCAGTCCCTAAACATTACACTAGAGGTGCTAGAAAAAGCAAGAGTAATGCTTTTGCCTGGAGTTCAATCAAAAGGGGGAGAAACTTGTTACTAACCCTAAAAATTTAGTACATGAGCTGTTCTCTATTTGCCTAAAAGAGAGGTTATTGGGAGATTCCTTACTAATACAATAGGATTTAGCATATAAAGAATTTCTAGCCGAAACCGGTTTGGCTCAGTGGATAGAGCGTCAGCCTGTGGACTGAAAGGTCCCAGGTTCGATTCTGGTCAAGGGCATGTACCTTGGCTGCGGGCGCATCCCTGGTGGGGGGTGTGCAGGAGGCAGCTGATCGATGTCTCTCTCATCGATGTTTCTAGCTCTCTATCTCTCTCTCCTTCCTCTCTGTAAAAAATCAATAAAATATATTAAAAAAAAAAGAATTTCTATTCATTATCTTAATTCTCACAAAATTAAATAATGCTTATCTATAATAATAAAAGACTAAGCGACCATCGCAACCAAATGGACGACTGAACAGGCGACGTGGGGCGACCAGGCCCACAGAGGGGGGCAGTAAGGGGCGATCAGGCCAACAGGAGGAGGAAGTTGGGGGTGAGCAGGCCAGCAGGGGAGGGAGGAAGGGGGGAGGGCAGTTGGGGGTGACTAGGCTGGCAGGAGAGACAGGGGCAATCAGGCAGGTAGGCAGGTGAACAAATTCGTGTACTGGTCCTGGATTGTAAGAAGGATGTCTGACTGCTGGTTTAGGCATGAGTGGGACATCCCCCGAGGGGTCCTGGACTGGAGAGGGTACAGGTTAGGCTGAGGGAACCCTCCCCCTGGCCCCTTGCACAAACTTTGTGCACTGGGCCTCTACTGAAGTATATAATGACACGGGAAGATGCTCATGTCAAAAAAGTTGAGGAAAGCCGGGACCGGTTTGGCTCAGTAGAGAGCGTCGGCCTGCTGACTGAAGGGTCCCAGGTTCGATTCCGGTCAAGGGCATGTACCTTGGTTGCGGGCACGTCCCCGGTAGGGGGTGTGCAAGAGGCAGCTGATCGATGATTCTCTCGCATCGATGCTTCTAATTCTCCCTCTCTCTTCTTCTCTGTGAAAAATCAATAATAAATATATATATATATATATATATATATATATATATATATATATATATATATATATATTTTTAAATATATTTTATTGATTTTTTAGAGAGGAAAGGAAAGAGATAGTCAGAAACATCGATGCGAGAGAATCATCGACCAGCTGCCTCCAGCACACCCCCTACCGGGGACGTGCCCGCAACCAAGGTACATGCCCTTGACCGGAATCGAACCCGGGACCCTTCAGTCCGCAGGCCAACGCGCTACCACTGAGCCAAACCGGTTTCGGCATAAAAATATATTAAAAAAAAAAAAGAAAAAAAGAAAAAGTTGAGGAAAACAGGGCTAGCCCCAGCTGGTTTGGCTCAGTGGATAGAGAGTCAGCCTAAAGGGTTCCAGGTTTGATTCTGGCCAAGGGCACATGCCCAGGTTGCAGCTCGATCCCCAGTAGGGGGCGTGCAGGAGGCAGCCGATCAATGATTCTCTCATCATTCTCTCCCTCTCCCTTTCTCTCTGAAATGAAAAACAAACAAACAAACAAAAAACATTTTTTTGTGTGCTATAAAAATGTATAGGAAAAATACATCAATATTTTTAGTATAGGCTGCCTTTGGGTGTAGGGTTATGGATAATTTTTACTTACATTATTCTTTTTACTTTTCTCTTTTTTCCAATTTTCTACAATGATAATATATTAAGGAAATGTTTTCTTAAAAAGAATGAGAGAATCTCAGAGAGCAAGAGAAAGAAGCTTTCCTTCTTTCTGAGCAACTATTCCAGAAATACAGTAATCTGTATAAAATACTCTGATATGGTTGGCAATAAGGGAAGAAGATATATTACCTTTAGCAAAGTTGTATTTATAGGATTCAGGCGAGAATTGCATTCAACCTAAAAAATAAATAAATAAATAAATAAATAAATAAATAAATAAATAAATAAAAAGGAGAAAAATTTAGGAACTACTAGGAATAGAAGAAATTATTTGGCATAAGAATGATCTTCCAGGATCAACAGCTCAGTTTGAAGGTGGCTGAATCAGCCTAAATAAATAATATAAATATTTATATGATGCTCTTTATATCTGACATTTCTGAATAGATCTAAAAATCTAGCTAATTTCACTACTGAATTAGTTACAAGTAGACTCTTTGAATTTAAGTCCTTCTACCACCTTACATAACATGGGGCAAATTATCAACTTCTTTAAAAAGTAAACTGGACTGCGGCCATGATCACCTGCTGTGGTCCTGATGGCTTCCCAGACAACTGACCCTGGTTGAGCTCTGTGTACCTCCTCTGTCCATTTCCTACCTTTGTCCTCTGCTCTGGAGGGAGTGGGGTTGCCATTCCTTGCACACAGACTCTTTTGTACCTCAAGGTCTTTTTGGCTGTCTCATCTAAAGTTGAACCCTCCACGGTTTTTCTCTCACAACAGTCATTATAATGAACAATTATAACTTTGTATATTTACATATTTGGTATCTTGTACTCCTGTATCCATAAAGGCAGGGACCTCAAAAAAATGTTTTGGGGAGATAATCTCTAGATTTAGCAATGTTTTCTGGCCAATCTGATCAACTGGATCCCTCAGCTTTTACACATTTGCCAAGCACGGACATACAAAGCACTGTACACTACGAGTTTGGAATCTAGTGTGGTAAAAACATAATACAAGGCAGGATGACATCACTTTAAAATTTCACAAGCGAGTTGAGTAAGTATAGAAGAATGACTAGACTTTCTGAAGATACAGTAGAAGTAGTGGGTGTTTGAAGGCTTCCAGAGTTGGGGAGAAGCATAAACAAAGGCAGGGGATGTGAAGTGGAAGTACAGTACACGTATAGTGCTTCAGGGGCAAGAGTCTGATGAGGAGGATGCAAGTGGCTGAGACTGGAGAAGCAGACTGATGATTACCACGGAAGGCAAAAACCCAAGTAGGTTTCTGAGGTGACAGGGTGTGAGCTGTTTAAAAAAAGTAACCAGCAGTGGCCTGTATGACGGACTGCAGGGGCAGAAAGACAGTTAGGTTTTGAAATTACCAAGGAAAGAACCTGTAATCCAGATGAACTTTTGCTCTGGGCAGGTACATACAAAACGCTTATAAAATCAGGGATGACTGAAAAGCTAGGATCACCAAATCAAAGTTTTTACTCTATACAAATAACAATATAGGCAGTGATAAACAAACATACAGAATATGCATTAACCCTAAGGGGTAGAATTATTTATTTTAAAAATATTTTTATCTGCCAGAGCCGGTTTGGCTCAGTGGTAGAGCATCGGTCTGCAGACTGAAAGGTCCCAGGTTTGATTCTGGTCAAGGGCATGTACCTTAGTTGCGGGCACATCCCTGGTAGGAGGTGTGCAAGAGGCAGCTGGTCGATGTTTCTCTCTTATCGACATTTCTAGCTCTCTATCTCTCTCCCTTTCTCTCTGTTAAAAATCAATAAAATATATTTAAAAAAATATATTTTTTTTAAATCAATTTTTGAGAAGAAGGTAGAGGGAGAGAGAAACATCAAATGAGTAAGAAACATTAATTGGCTGCTTCCTGCATGCTCCCCCACGGGGGATTGAGCCTGAAACCCGGGCATATGCCCTGACTAGGAACGGAACCAGTGACCTCTTGGTGCATGGGATGAAATTCAACCAACTGACCCACATCAACCAGGATGAATTTTTTTTAAAGAACTTTATCGATTTTAGAGAGAGGAAGGGAGTGGGAGAAAGAAACATTGATACATTGCCTCCTGAGGATCAAACCTGCAAACTAGGGATCCAACCTGCAACGTGGGTATGTGCCCTGACCAGGAATCGAAGCTGCCACCTTTTGGTGTATGAGACAATGCTCCAACCAGCTGAACACACTGGCCAGGGTCTAAAATGTAGAATTAAAAAAACTACAGGCACAGTACTTAGAATACAGCAGACAGGCAATAAATACTTTCTAAAAGAAGAAACTCCCAAGTTCAGTTTAATATAATAAATCATGCTTTCCTCTGGTTCAACAATTTATAAGTTCTATAACTTTGTAAGAAGTCTCCATATCTGGTAGGCTAAGCACAATGGTTATTTTTTGACACGTTTATTCCCCAAATGCAGTCTCCATCTTACTCTTTTTTTTATTCTCTAAACATCAGGCAAATAAGAAAAGCTCAAAAAATGATGCTGAATGAATGTGAGCAAGAATAGCTAGGAACAGTGCTCACTTTGGCAGCACATATGCTAAGAACAATAGCTACCAACAGTGACCAGTTCTCTACCAGCTTGTGGGATTAAAGTGCTCTGCCTGGGCAGCTAGATCTGAATCTATCTAGAACAGCATCTACTTTGTGGCACATATAGGGCTAGCAATGCTTTTCTCCATAAACATGAAAGGTGTGAGCCCCACCCACCGAGCTCTGAACAGTGGTTAGAACGTTGGCCCACTACACCAGACCGGAGGGTTTGATTTCCGGTCAAGGGCTCATACTTGGGTTGCAGGTTCAATTCCCAGCCCCAGTTGGGACACATGTAGGAGGCAAACAATCAATGTATCTATTGATGTGTCTCTCTTACATCAATGTTTCTCCCCCCCCTCCCATTCCCTCTCCTTCCTCCCTTCTACTCTCCCTCTCTAAAAAAAAAAAAAAAAAAAAAAAAAATAAAAAATCAATGGAAAGAATATCCTTAAGTGAGGATTAACAACAAAAAAAGGTATGAGCCTGGCTGGTGTGGCTCAGTTGGCTGAGCATCATCCCCTGCAGCAGGTCACTGGTTCAATTCCTGGACAGGGCTCATGCCTGGGTTGCCAGCTCAATTCCCAGTAGGGGGCATGCAGGAGGCAGCTGATAGACGTTTTTTTTTTCATAAATATGTTTTTCTGTACCCCCCCTTCTCTATAATCAATTAAAAAAAAAATAAATATATATATATATATATATATATATATATATATATATATATATATATATATATATATATAAATTAGTCCTGGGCAGTTGCTCAGTGGTGTCAGCCCAAGGTCTGAAGGATCTTAGGTTCAATTCCTGGTCAAGAGCATGAATCTAGGTTGCAGGTTTGATCCCTGGACCCGGTTGGGGCACGTGTGGGAGGCAGCCAGTCAATGTGTCTCTCACACATCGATGTTGCTCTCTCTCCCCTTATCCCTCCCTTCCACTCTCTCTCTAAAGATGAATGAAAACAATATCCTAAGGGGAGGTTTAAAAAAATAAAAATCAAAGGTGTGGAAATCAGAAAAGTGACCTTACTTTTATGGGCTAACCTAAGAAGTCTTGAAAACATTGGAAATGTTGCATAAAGTCTATGCAATTATAAAAGACAAAAGCCTTAGCTAGTTTGGCTCAGTAGATAGAGCAATGACCTGTGGACTGAAGGGTCCTGGGTTCGATTCCAGTCAAGGGCATATGCCTGGGTTGCGAGCTCAGTCCCCAATAGGGGGCATGCAGGAGGCAGCCAATCAATGATTCTCTCTCTCTCATCACTGATGTATCTATCTCGTCCTCTCCCTTCCTCTTTGAAATAAAAAATATATTAAAAAATAAAAAATAATTGGGAATTCTAATTAAGGGTATTTTCTTTTAAAATATATTTTATTGATTTTTTTTTTTTACAGAGAGGAAGGGAGAGGGATAGAGAGTTAGGAACAATGATGAGGAAGAAACATAGATAAACTGCCTCCTACACATCCCCCTTGATGTGCCCGAAACCAAGATACATGCCCTTGACTGGAATCAAACCTGGGCCCTTCAGTCCGCAGGCTGACACTCTATCCACTGAGCCAAACCAGATAGGACTAGGATATTTTATAAAAACAACACTATTTTTGTTTTAAGTACACATTTATGAAAAAAAATGTGTTTCTAAATCCTCACCTGAGGATATATTTACTGATTTTAGAGAGAGGAAGGGGGAGGGAGAGAGAAATATCAATTGGTTGCCTCTTATACTTGCCCCAACCAGGGATGAAACCCAAAGCTTAGGTATGTGCCCTGACTACGAATCAAACCAATGCCCTTCCAGTGTACAGGACAATGGTCCAATCAAGCCACATCAGCCAGGGTGAAAAAATGTTCTTTATAGATGTTTTCACAGAAACTACCTCTACCTTTTTGGCCAGAAAAAACTGACCTTTATATAAAAATCCTTCTTGGTGAACTGGAATCATCACTAATTTTACTAAAGGTCCTGTGCACATATTTGTTCACAGGTGGGGTCCAGTTGACCTGCTCCCCACCATGGTGTGTGTGTGTGGGAGGGCAAGGTTGGATTGGGGGTGGGGCCTGCTGGGGGGGTGGGAGAGGAGGCAGTTGGCCAGCTGGCCCCTCCCCCCTGGTCAAACTCCCAGTTGAACAATTGTATATTAGCCTTTTATTACTTAGGTTTACCTTGTGGGGATTTTTTATTATTTATTAATTTATTTATTTTTTTATGTGAGGTCAGCTTCCTATGTGCTCAAGCCATGCCATGTATTTTATATGAGAGATAGACTATTTTACAGGGCAATACAGGAAGATGTGAATATAATCTATCATTAACTGTATCTCACCCTATAAACACTCCCTCTCCCAGCCCCACCTTTTTGCCTATGTATGCACTCCTGATTAGTTATTAGGTTCCCTTTCTAAAAAGCCTTACTTCCTAACATTTTGTTCTAAAAAGGGCAAAAGTGAAGGCTGCCTAAGAAAACCAGGTAACTTCACACAGGTACTTTAAGTTATATATGCTGTGGGAAACACAAGCAAATGTAAATGCTAACAGACATGAAAAACTGTCACTTCATTTGTAACCAAAGAAGTGGAAATTAATTAACCTACCAATTAACAAATAGAATTTAAAAATCTAGTGCTGAACAGGCATTCTCAGACATCGCTGGTGGCAACACACTGATGAGTACTTTTTGGAAAGGAATCTGGCAAAATATATAAAAAATCTTACAAAGGTTTATGAAACACTTCTGGATATCCATTCCCAGGAAAATAATAAAAGATGCAAGCAGGTTTTATAAAGATGTTCAACAGCAACATATTAATGGGACAAAATCAGAAATAATCAACAGGAGAATGAGGTTAAATAAACAAAGGTACATTTATAAGACTGAATTATACAGATATACTGACTTTATACTATGAGAAAATGCTATCAAAAGTATTAAGTCGCCAAAACCGGTTTGGCTCAGTGGTAGAGCGTCAGTCTGCAGACTGAAAGGTCCCAGGTTCAATTCCGGTCAAGGGCACATACCTTGGTTGCGGGCACATCTCCGGTAGGGGGTGTGCAAGAGGCAGCTGGTCGATGTTTCTCTCTCATCGACGTTTCTAACTCTCTCTCCCTCTCCCTTCCTCTCTGTAAAAAATCAATAAAATATATTTTTTTAAAAAAGTATTAAGTAATCAAGTCACAAAACCTTGTAAAAAACTTATATAAAAATTTGCCTTTAGGTAACTGGATCATGATTCTTCCTCAAGTTCTTCTATTTTCCATATTTTCCAAAATGAGCATATATTATTTTTAACAATGTGCTATGTGTTTAAGAAGGAGCTAGAGAAAAGCATACAGGCTCTAGCAGCCTTCCAACCTGCTGATTCAGTCCCAGACTTATGGTGGCTGTAGAACACCGAGGCTGCTAGCAATCTGACAATAAGCAAATAGTGTTTAGTTGAACTACTTGACACAAAGTGAATTGATCCCTTCTGATGAAACCTAGTGATCAAGGAGGAATTCATTTATAACAAAGAGCAAGAACTTATATTTGTAATCAGAAATAACAAAAACTAGTATTTACAAACTGTTCCCAGTGCTATATACATTTTATTACATTTCAATCTCATTCATATTCACAACATCAGGACATACTTACCACAGCCTCAACTGCGGGTGAATTGTCCCCTACCACCAATAAAGTGGAACACCTGCAGAAAGCCAAAATAAAAGGCGACACTCAGCAAGCAGAACATAAGCCCCACTGAACCCTGACTTCGTTTATGAAAAGCAAAGATATCCGGCAATTTAGAGGAGAAAGTGAGGGACTTACTTTAAAGTCTTTGATTTGTTATCATTTTGGCCCAGCATAGGTCTTTCAATCTCCAGGTCTCTGCGTCTAGAGAAACAAAGGAAGCAATGCCCTTTTTCAGATAAAATCATGACAACTCAGGTTATTTCCTGGTCATGAAAACCAAAATATTTCAGGGAATGTAAAAACTATCTTTCTTTCACACCCGGTGAGTGAAGGGGCCCTTATGCGGTTTGTTCACAAGTAGCCATCCTGAATGGTAGGTTCCTAGCTCAACCCTGAAGGATTATGTGGGAAGCTAAAGGAGGCAACTGTAGAACTCAACAGGACCACTACTGAAATCCTCAAGTCCTAAGGGCATTTAATTTTCCAACTTGTTTATAAAGGAATAAATTCCTTTTAAGAGAAGGGATTTTTTTTGGGGTGGGGTGGGGTGTGTTTTCCTTGTAACTAACATAGTTATTGACTAAAAAGAATGAGGTTCTGTTCATGTGTTACTTCTACAAGATGTCAGCAAAGAGAAACTGAATCAAGGCCCAAGATTCTATCATTTGTCCCCCCCACATGCACTTTTCTGTGCTACCTCAAATTGTGTGTTTTTATGTGTGTACATGACTTTAGGTACTTTTAATCTCAAAACACCTAAAAACAGCTGATACTTGAACTTGCACAAAACAGCCTTCAGTCATTCTTCTTGATAGATGTTTTCCTGTCTAAAAGCCCTCTGTGTTCTATTGTGGTAGGTAAAAGAGCACAAAACAATCCCATCACACATTAGAAGAAGCAGTTCATTCCCTTCCCCTCTCTCCTAAAAGTCCATTATGTTTTTAGACCTGGTCTGCATTTAAGTAAATAGGAAGCAACTGTACCCGTTATAAGAACACAGGAAGAGCTGTAGGTTTTCTTGGTTGATATCTTGGGCAATATGCAGTTTGTAGGTTTGAATCAGGTCCAGGTTGGCCTGTAACTCCTCCTAGAACAAGGAAAGACGCAAGTAAACTTCTGAGTTACAGTATAAGCCTCCTGTGTTTCGTTTGCAATATCAATGTCCAAAACCAAATCTCCCTGCCCATGTTTGTATCAGACTGTTTAGTGCCACATTCTGTGTTGGATGAGGGCACCAAAGGATCTGTGATGGAAAAGGATGGTAAGCAACTCTAGGTCAAGCGCAAAAACTTGGGAATATGCTGACTAATACTACCTTCAGCTCAGTGGAAAACTGCCCCAGATTTGGATTCAAGTACTATCCGTGGAACTCAGGTCACCTAACCTTTCTGAACCCATTTCTTTATTTGTGTGTTGTTTTTTTCATGTTGTGCCATTTCTCATAAAAACAGAGACAGTGTCTGTAAAATGAAGATAATAACCAGTTACAGGGCTATTTTAAGGATTATATAAGAAAAGTTATATGAACTATAAAGTTAAAATAAATGGAAAGTAGCATTTCTCTTAATAGCCATAAATCTGCATAATTAATTTACCTATATCTTAGCTGACATAACCAGTGTACTACTATTTATATACTATCATTTAATAATATACATTATAGAGTTATATATTACATTCCACTTGATATCTTACTAAGTCAGGTTATAACTTAATCTTATTACCAACACTATTAAAGGTATAAAACTCAAAAGAAACAAAATGGCATACACAGTAAGAAGTGAGTTTCCCTCCCTACTACCCATTGCCCAATGGTCCTCTTGCTGGCCTTCTCGGAGACCATCAGAACAAGTTGCCAGATTCTTGGGTACATAACCAAATATGTACATATGTTTATGTACACACACACACACACACACACACACACACACACACACACACCAGCAAGCAGTTTTAAGCAGACGGAAATTGTTTGCATTAGAAGGGAAAAATGCATCAGGAATAACAAGAGAATCACTTAATCCAGGGCAGTGTGTAAAGATCACCAGCAATCCTTGGGAGAGAGAGAGAGAAAGACATTTGTTTGCCTTCTAACTGTCATATGGGTGAAGTAAGCCAAGAATACAGTTGGAAACTGACCAAATGGATCAGTCTACCTGAAGCTGAACTGCACTGGAATCACTCCAAGGAAACTTGGTCAATAATAAAGGAATTATAGTAAGAAAAGTAAACAATAAGTGAAGCACACAATAATTAGAGATGAAGTTATCTCCAGCTCCCCCTTGAAGGTCTGGAGAGGAACTTGAGTAGCAAAGTTGGAGATAAAAAAGGAAAGAAATGATACTGATATAAAAGAAGTAAAACTGAAAACAACAACAACAAAAAAAAAACCCAAAAAACTGGCTTAAGTGCTACCAGAACTTCTTAGGCAAAGCTGTTATGTATTAATTAACCTCCACTCACCTACCTTTTAAAAAAATACAAATTGTTAGACTTATTATTTTACACACTGCTTTTCCACTTAAAAGTATGGCAGAGATCATTCCTTATTAGGACATTTGGAGCTGTCTCGTTTATTTATTTATTTATTAAATATATTTCACTGATTTTTTTACGGAGAGGAAGAGAGAGGAACAGAGAGTTAGAAACATGGATGAGAGAGAATCATCCATCAGCTGCCTCCCGCACACCCCTACTGGGGATGTGCCCGCAACCAAGGCACACACCCTAGACCGGAATCGAACCTGGGACCGACACTCTATCCACTAAGCCAAACCGGTTTCGGCATGGAGCAGTCTCATTTATTAAAACTGCCTGTTTTCCCACACCTCTGGCTAGTATAAACAATCACTAATTTTTGCTCATGTGATAGATTAAAAAAGGGGTATCACTGTGGTTTTTTTCTATTAGTGAAGATGAAATTATTAATGTTTAAAAACCTTATTTGTTTCCATTTCAAAGCAATACAAACATTCGCTTACACCAGCCTTATGACAACCCATTGCCTATGACCTTACATGTTTTTAATTAAACACATATTATGTATGTGCCCAGCCGGTGTGGTCCAGTGGTTGAGCCTCAACCTATAAGCCAGGAGGTCATGGTTCGATTTCTGATCAGGGCACATGCCCGGATTGTGGGCTCTGTCCCCAATGTGGGGCATGCAGGAGACAGCCAATCAATGATTCTCTTTCATCACTGATGTTTCTATCTCTCTTCCTCTCCCTTCCTCTCTGAAATCAATAAGAATATTAAAATATAAAATACAGCTTAAATACTCATTATCTATATATTGTGAGGATGTTCCTGCTTTACAGAAATTATTAAAATTCTGGTCTTAGCTTTCCTTATTTAAAATAGTGTTTCTAACATATTCAAATGAAAGCCTCAAAGCCTCATTCTTCCATGCCAGGCACTGTTAGACCTTAAAAGTAACTGCTTTCCCTAATCAGCGGCTCACAGGTATCCTAGAAGTCTGGCCCCAAGTTACTTAACACCCCCTGAATATGTCTTATAATTTCTTTCTTATTGCTTTTGAGCAAACTATTCCCACTTCTGGAATGATCTCCTTCCTCCCCAAATCTAAAATGTTGAATTTTATCCACCCTTCAAGACCCAGCTGGGATACCTTCTCTACCTTGAAGCCCTCCCTGATCCCCAAGTCAGAAGTAATCCTCTCCTGCCTTTGAATTACGCTAAGGTGCTTCACACTACCTTTCGAAAGGAACCCTGGGATGGTAGAAAGAGAAAAATGTCAGACTCAGGCACACCTGGCTTCATATCTCCTCCTAATATGTTACTAGCTGCTAACCTTGTGTAAACCAATTCATTCTTCACTTGTAAAGTGGGAATAATACAATACCAATTATGAGATTACTAGACTGAATTTATTAATGTAGATGAAACATCTGAAATTTGAAGGTGCTCAATGAAATGTAGATCTTACTATGTATCCCTTTTTACCCATGCTATAATAGTATATATATCTTCTTCCCATACGGTAAGCTCCTGGAGAACAAGGGACATATCTTATCCACTTTTGTCTACCCCCAGTGCACTAAGAATAGAATTTTGTGAAGTCTGTGAACTGGTTTTTAATGTCTATAGTTAAAAACAAACATGCTATGTCTTCAGGAAAGTAACTACATTAACCATCATTATGTAGTGCAAAGATCATGATATTTGAGAATTCTAATTAAAGATGTTGGATTAAAATACAGCTTTACTCCTTCAAGAAAAATAAAATTTTTTTCAATCATAAACTCATAAGAATAGGAAAAGTGAAAATAGCAATAACATTTTGAAAGTGGGAAAGTAGAAGGAAAACTATCACTCATTTAGCAGACTTGATTAAAAATCCTAGAAGAAAACACAGGTAGTAAAATCATAGACATCTTACATAGCAGAATTTTGCTGATATATCTCTTAGGACAAGAGAAACATAGAAAAAATAAACTACATCAAACTAAAAAGTTTCTGCACAGCAAAAGAAACCATCATTAATATGAAAAGGGAGCCGAAACCGGTTTGGCTCAGTGGACAGAACATTGGCCTGCGGACTGAAAGGTCTCAGGGTTAGATTCTGGTCAAGAGCATGTACCTTGAGCTGAGACCAGTTTGGCTCAATGGATAGAGCGTCGGCTTGGGGACTGAAGGGTCCCAGGTTCGATTCCGGTCCAGGGAATGTATAATACCTTGGTTGCGGGCATATCCCCAGTGGGGGGTGTGCAAGAGGCAGCTGATCGATGACTCTCTCTCATCGATGTTTCTAACTCTCTGTCTCTCTCCCTTCCTCTCTGTACAAAATCAATAAAATATAGGGCATGTACCTTGGTTGCGGGCATATCCCCAGTAGGGGGTGTGCAAGAGGCAGCTGATCGATGACTCTCTCTCATCGATGTTTCTAACTCTCTATCCTCTCTCTCCCTCTCTGTAAAAAAGTCAACAAAATATATATTTTTTTAAAAATGAAAAGGGAGGAAGTACCAAGATGGTGGTATAGGTAAACACCTGTACTTGCTGTCTCCCACAACCACATCAATATAACTAAAATACAGAACAACCGTCATTCAGAACTGCCTGAAATCTGGCTGAATGGAAGTCCTACAACTAGAGAAGAAAAGAAGGGCATTGCCCTAGTTGTTTTGGCTCAGTGGATTGAGCATCACCCTGTGGACTGAAGGGTCCCGTGTTCAATTCTGGTCAAGGGCACATGCTTGAGTTGCAGGCTCGGTTCACAGTAGGGGGTGTGCAGGATGTAGCCAATCAATAATTCTCTCTCATCACTGATGTTTCTATCTCTCTCTCTCTTTCTCCTTTCCTCTCTGAAATCAATAAAAATAAAAAAAAATATATTTTTAAAAAGTGCATTGAGATGGTTGGAGAGGCAGAGGTATGGGACAGGCTGGTCCGACACCCACACGTGACATTTCTTTAATCAGGAGGGTTATCTCCAAGGCCTCCCATGAAAAGCAGGGGGTCGCAGCCCCATACCAGACCCCAAGCCAAGGGTTTCAGAGCTGGGAAGAGAAGTCCCCATAACTTCGGGCTGTAAAAGCCAGCTGGGATTATGGTTGAGTGACATGGAGGCTGCTGGATTTCCAGGTGTTCCTCTTAAAGGGCTGGCTCACAAACTTACACTGTCCAGCTTCCTCTGAGTTCCAGTGCTGGGTGGCTGCTTTGGGGGAATCCAGGGACATATGGGGAGGAACTGGACTGTCTGGCAGCTGGGCAGGAACTCAGGGAGTCAGCTTTCTCCCAGACCGGGGTGCACACAGGGTCACTGTTCCTGTGTTGGGACTTCCCAGTCACAGAGCTGCCATCAGAGTAGCCACACTGTTCTCTGTCCTGGTGATTCCCTGACACCCAGCCACGTTCAATTTGCAGTCCCACTCAAGCTGTTTGCAGCCGCTTTTCCATATGATTCCGGTCAAGGGCATGTACATTGGTTGTGGGCACATACCGAGTGGGGAGTGTGCAAGAGGCAGCTCGTTGATGACTCATTCTCATCAGTGTTTCTAACTATCACTCTCCCTTCCTGTCTGTAAAAAAATCAATAAAATATGTTAAAAAATAAATAATTAAAAC